GTCTCTTGATCGTCATGTATCATATGCATTAGTTGTTTCAAAATAGTAGTTAACCGTTTCCTCATCCTTTGCTTAGCCTTCTGCAGAAATTATTTCAGGGGTCTCTTGATCGTCAAATATCATTATGTTTAATTAATTTATATTATTTTAATAGGTCCTTGACCTCCTAGGGACTACCTTCATAATATACATACTTCATCATGATTGAATTTTTTTTGGTAGGTGGTGGACCTTCAGCTTCTCATACGACGCTAATTATTTTAGGGTACCTCATACCCACCTCTCCTAATTAATCTGGCACCCACCACCAACGGGGTTGCCCCAAATAATATACAGCTATAATTATTTAAAAAAAATTATTTTAGTAGGTGACGGGTCCGGTGAAATAATTTTACATTGGGACGGGTGATGTTCCTACTGTATGAACCAGAGGCATCTAGAACAAATATCGTAGATGGTACCATATAACCTGAACTAGAATCTTGGGTTAAATCACAAGTAGCAAACATTCCGACATACTTTGGCCGGACCAAGAGTTCATCGTTTTTTGGAGGTGCAGTATGTGAAAGGCACCCTGTGTTATACAATCCATGATAATCGATGAACGTGAGCGTTTTCACGGAGCATGTTCCTGAAAGGGCTTCGGAAGTGCTGGGCGATGCACGAAGGGAGGAAGAAGCAACGGTTTTGGTCACTTGCCTTACATTTCTGTGACCCCCAGCGCCGGTGTTTTCGATCATGTTGCTAAAGCAGCGACATTTTCACCCTGGGTCCTCGGGTCCTGCCCAGAGGGCCTGCTGGAGCTTCGCACGCAGCCAACCAAACTCTGTGTCGCTAATGGCACTGTAATTTACAGTGCTTGGTGGCCTTGCAATTTTTGATGTTTGTGTGCCGCATGCATGGCGTCTCAAAAAGGTTGGTGATGCAAGTTATGCTGTCCGGGTTGCCATGCATTATCGGCACTCAGTAACAAAAGACATACAAACAGAGAGACACACAAACTAACAGGCATGTATGCACAACCCGTCCAGAGCAGCAACGGCGACGACAACAACAACAACAACAACTACTACTACTACTACGACTACCACTACGACTACCACTACGACTACTACTACTACTACTACGACGACGACGACGACGACCACCACCACCACCACCGCCACCGCCACCTACCTATCTAGCTACATACACGTACATAACACCTTTCCATTCTTCCTTCACCCCTCTCTTCCCTGTCCTCCTCCAGGCCGGCGGCTGTCAGGCGTAAGCCTTTAACAATCACTCGACACGACGCACCGCAGGCGTCTCGGACAAAAACGCTTCGCTTCGTCTCCAGGCCTCACAGCCTGATTCGTCTCGCTTGTGGTTGGCCTTTCGGCATCATCGCGAGCTTGGTGCGGCCACCACGGCCCCAGAAGTTGTAGGGAGTGTCGTGCCAGTAAATCCTCAGGACGGATGAGAGGTCCAAACCCGAGGATCATTTCATCGAAAGGGGATCCAAGCTGGATAGAAGGAGAATCCCAAACTGAGCAGTGAGGATGTGTGGATGGATGTTGCAAATCTAGAAGGGGCTAGGGGAGTCTGACATCGACCAAGTGATCGAATGCCAGGGTTACTTCCGAAATCTTGAGAAGGATCGCAGTGGTTTTGTTGTGCAAGGATGAATGGTCTTGCAGGTGGGGACATGTTTCTTTGCAATTCAGCATGTTTGGTGGTTGTGACGCTGTTTTCGGATTTAAAGCCAAGCACATACATGTACGTGCACAAACATGGAAGAGGAACAGGCTCAGGTCCCAAGTCAATTCACCCTGAGCAGCAGGGCAGAACTCGGTTCAGATCGAAGATATTCTGAACGTGAACCATCTGACTTAGTTTCCCACTGCAAACCATGTGACGTCCGCTTCGTCCCCGGGTAACGACATTGCAAGACTGCTTTTCACACCTGTGTTGTCACGGGTAACCTTCACACTGACTGTTTGCAACGCCTGCAAGGGCCCGGATGAAAATGGGCCAAGCCGGATGCTACTAGCAGGAAGAAGCTACTAACAAGTGCATCGCTACATATCGCAACTAGTGACAAGGGCAGTACTACGAGTAACAAGAAGCTACTAGTAGCGATGCACTTGTTAGTACAAAGGAAACGTTGAGTGATGTGCCAAACAAGCTGCCTCCGAAAACCCTACCATCAAGTGCAACCGAAAAGCCAGCCGCCATAGCCCTGAGCATGATACTCCCGCTGAAGCTCCTGGGCTTGATTTTGTCAAGCCAAACATAGCAAGTTACACTATAATTACATATGTATATGTAGATATATGATGAGACCAGCTTGACGTCACACGTCTCCTCCTTGACATCTTCATCTGCAAAGACCTCTGGGTGCACGTAGTCCACCACTCGGGGGTTCACCCTCCCAAGCACCGAGATGAAGGGAGCGTGGAAGGGACGATGCGCACGGGGTGAAACTCACTGAACTCAAGCAAACAGCAAGCTTAGCTTACAGTGTCCTGTTGGTTTCTGCATGTTTGATGTACATGGGATGAGGCCTTTGGCAAGAAGGCAGCAAGTGGAACCCCATCCACTTTTTCCCCCCCAAAGAATGGGTCTTCTGAGACATGGGGGGCAATGTAGCTTGGCACGGTGTGAAGTTGCTTTTCCTGCCATGTTCAACAATGACAAAGGGATGCACAAAGTACATCTTCAGATCTCGAGGATCCAATCACCCCTGAATGTTCCAGGAATTGTTTGGACTCCACTGGTGTTGTTGAACTTCGACATACTTGAAAGCATGGTGAAATGCTCCGACCAATCCTCCAACCATGAAAGAAGTAACATCAAATGATATGTTAGCGACAATGCTCATATGATCTCATATGTATATATATATATATACACATGTATCACCGTGTGCTTCCCACGGTCTGGTCACCTACTTGCTACCTGCGCACGCTACCAGGATCGGCGTTTGTTGCTGCTTTGGCACCTGAGCATCTTCATGATGAAGTCGATATCTTTTTGCAGCCGCTCGGAAGCATGTGCGAAGCCCCTGGGACCCGTAAGCCGCTTTTTTGTGAAGCAAGCAAGAGGTCCTACAAAATCTACGAGCCTCGAGCTCACTGCGGCAAATGGAAATGGACATCTCCAAAATCAATAGACGTCGCTACTATTAACAAGGGCATCGCTACTAGTAGCTTGCCCTTGTTACTAGTAGCGATGCACCTGTCACTAGTAGCGGTAACATCTCCAAATTTTCCCCACCATTCTTCTCTTGCACCGCACCTAGGATCACCCTTGATGTTCTCCTCCACGAAGGCTTCGTCGTCCTTCTGCTCCGCCTGGTCTTCAAACGCCCCGAGTCACTACTCCCACGCACTCCATGCGCCTGGATGATTAGCGCCAAACATTTCTTCCCAGGGTCAATGCAGGATAATCTTCCTCAAGAGGATAGAGTCCCATGAACTCAGAGATGAAGAAAGGAATCGCAGATTCATTGTTCCTCTGTGTTTTCTAGGGGGTAATTGAATGTAATGAATGAGGAATTGGGCTACCCAAGTACCATCTGTTGTTGGCCAAACAATCTGCAGGTGAGAGATGGCCAAACATCTTTTGCAACATGAAAGGGCATCAAATCTGGTCTGGGTGTGATGATTCTCCCTGTTTTGTATGTCATCCTTTTGTGGAGTGTGTTACATGTTGATTTTCGATGACACCTAGATTTTCAGATTCCAAGACTGGCCTTTTACCCATTACATCCCAGTACCATTTCGGTAGATTCTAGCCGTACCTCCTGGCAAAGACTTGTCCTGTCCTTGTACCACCTTGTACCAACATTTCTGGTAAGGAAACACCTCAAAATGACTGTGGACTAGCCTGTGAAGTAGCCTGTGGATATTCAAACGAAAGTGACCCGGCGATTTGGGTTTGGTAATTCTCCAGCCATCAATCCAAACACCATCATGTAGCTTCTTGGACCAACAGTCTATCATACTCTCCAACTGGTCAACGGTATTCTTTCCGGCTGCCTGACCAAAGGGTATGTCATAAAGGACAACAAAATGCCTCACCACTGCAAACCTAGACGTCCAAAGAACCACATGCTCTGATTTTGGGTTTTGTGCGTTTTATGTCCATCTTCTGCACGCCAAGTGGCTGTTGCCGTCATCATCCTCAAACAAGCTGCGTTTCACAGGGCTTCCGGCCAAAGTAGTCTTCCTTTGACCCTACCCCTCTAAAGTTAGTCTCGGAATTCGGCTCAAACAACAATAAGGCACTAAGGCACCCTGGTTCTGGGCATCCCCAAGCCCGTCTAGTTTGGCTTGACAGTTCCTGGGTTCGGGTGGTCGAAAAAACACCGGTCTGGGCATCCCCACGGGGACGGTTTCATGAAGGCTTCAATGTCGCGCTTCCTGAATCTCCGGCTGCGCATCGCAATACTACCTCAGGTGCCGCGATGCGATCGACCGGACGCCGCCGTTTGTGGAACGGGCGCAGGAGGCCCGCATCGCGGACGGAAACGACTCATCTCTCGGCACATCATGGTAGGGAAGAGTGACCAGAAACATTGAAACCTTAACATCCCTTAACCACGAAAAAAACACCTGTGAAGAACTACAGGAAAAGCGTGATTCGCGTGATTTCAGTCTTGTAACAGCAAACAGGTCTTTGTTGACCTGTTTGTTGAACAGGTAGGGATATGTACGGTTCGTATCAAGTCAGCAAACAGCAAACCAACAAACAAACATCCAAATCTTCTCGCCGCGATGTTGCTTCCTTCGCCCCTGGTGGTCGTGGAAGGTCCAAAGACAAAGGTTGGACACCATTGATGGACCTGCGGAGCAACTGTCCCAAACATCACTGAAATCGACCATGTGACAAACAAAAATCATCGTACATCATTAAACATCACATCCCGGAAACAAGGTTAAGTGGCTAAATGATTCTCAAATTTCAACATGACTGAGGCATGCAAACTTGGTATAGAAAAATGACAGTTCGGTTCAAAACAATCAAACGAATCAAAATGCAATGCCATATTCGCAGTCCTGCGCAATCACCAAGAGGGTCAGGAGTGGCAACAGGCTCCTAGACGACGCCATTGACGTCGCACAGATCCCGGTGCCAACCGTGTGACCTGGGCAAACGACGTATCGAACGTGACGAATGTGCGCTCGACCACATGCTTCAATCGATCAACACACAGAGGTCCAAGTGTCCGACGGCGGCTGCCTGGGATCAGGTTCCCTTGTTGAGCAAGCAACGGCAGCATGACCAATCTCCGATTTTTGCTCCGCCCTGCCCCCCCCACCACCCCAACCAAAACATACCAAAAGGGAAAATTATACAAAATAATTGAGTGATCTGCACAGAAAAGATTTGGAGTATGTTACAGTATGTTCTACATCCAGAATCACAGCATCTGTTTTTTTCCTTAATGATGTGCAAGGTGCTTCTGCAGTGCTTTAGACTGCCGCGAGGGTGCAACTCAACCCTTGATGGTATGCTATGTTAATTGGACCTGCTTTGCTGGTCTTCGCAAATGGGAGCAGCGGCTTTCACACTGCAGCCGTAGTGTCCTTCCAATCGAGCAAACTGCAAAACGGAATATGCAGTCGATTAAAAAAATATATATAGAAGATTTTTCTGTCAATTTAATGTCCACATTTCCGCACGAGGTGTGCACCACTGTCAAAACACAATGAAACAGCAAATCTTGCACGACGAAACTGAAGAGCCTGTGTGGTGTTGGTCTTCTCGGTCAGCGCCTGACACTTCCGACACAGTTGTGCAGGCCAAGAATGCGGCTGCACCAGATTGACTGACTTCCGTGTCAGTGAGTGTGCCTTGAAAGTGGTGGTTTGCAAGTGCAACATCTCATGAAGAACCCCAGCGAACAGCCGCGCAGGCACCTTCATTGGCTTGTGAGGCTTGCTTGGTGTCGCCGCCAGCCCATCACCCTGCGACAGGGCCCATGATTTCACGGAGGCTGATGAAAATATCTGCAGACCTTTGAAAAACATGAGCAATCTAATGACTAAATAACTGAACACACCAAGCAATCACACAGGCGAATGCGAGTGGACAACAAATGGGAACATCTTCAGCATGCAAAGGTTCACAGTTCATGCACGCATGTTGAACGCGGCTGCTGACTGAGTGTAACCTGAGCCAGCGGGTGATTGGCCGCTGGCCAAAAGCTGCACGCCTTGCCCCCGCCCACCGGGAAGGCCAAGAAATCCGTCCTGCAGTGAGAAAGAGCGCTTTCACATATCGGTCCGGGAAGGTTGTATGCAACATCACCCCAAGATGGCCCACTCATGAGAGGGCAACAAGTCTGACTGGAGTGTCTTGCTTTCATGCCTTGCCTTCACTCCCTGGGTTGGTCCGATGCGAGCGGGAAAAAAACACAAGCACATGACCTCAAAGCCTGGTTTTGTAGAGGAAACAGTTCGGAGCTTGAAGCAAGTTGATGTTAATGTTCTTCTTGCAAAACCACATAGGCAACCCATGCACTGCAATTTTTATCAGTACGCTCCAATAACCCTTGATTATGGTACTGGGAATTTCTTGTGTATACGGTGTGGGCGCGTTTAAGCATGACTGAATTGAATTAAATGCTTAGCGCTGCTATTGCAATTGTTTTCCCATCACCTTCCCTCTTCGCCACCAACGTCCCTAGTTAGTGCTGCTGAGATTCCGCGGTTTCAAGAATGATGTAACATATAGCTTGACCACGGTGTTGACATGTGTTGACCACAAGGTGTCGCAGCAAGCCCCCAAACAATTTTCCATCCATAATCGGTGTATGCAAGAATGCTCAGTTCCTTGTCGTTGACGATGTCTCAACACAACCCCGTCAAAGAACAGTGCCTTTTCCGCATCAACGCCCTGGAAAACGACTGCGCCTGAGGTTCATGGGATTTAGACAAGCCAAGCCCGTCTGTGAACAGCAGGTCGTTGCCGCGACTCGGTGAGTAAAGGCGCCTGGTGAGTGAAAGCGGAACCAACAGAACCAGGCTTTGGGCACCTGGTGGTTCCAGGTGCATCTGGTGGAAACTGCCTCAACTCTCTTCAACGACTATAGACTATACTCTTTAAACTTGCATGTCACAAGCTCTGGTACCAGTAGTATGTCATCACATAGATTATATGGATTCGTCAAGTCTCCTGCCTTAGGCCCATGATACCCCATCGCATGGCGTGCAACTCGCGGGCACAAGTGCCTTGCCACAAGCCCTTTTGTCCGGCCCCCAGCAACGAGCACCAAGCATGCCTTGTGTGAGCAACGAGCACTTCTTGTAGCACCTGGGTGGCCAGCTGAGGTGTCCCAGGCAGAAGGCAATTCTGAAGTATGAAGAATTTGGGTGTCCGCCACTTTCCACCATCTCTGTAGGGTACTACGGAGTGAAGAAGCAACTTTGTTCAGATGGAACATCGTGAACACCACTCAATTGCTAGGGATCCTTCCATCATTATTCTGCAAGCGGTACTGTCACCTGAACATGCCCCCCCAATGCATCTTGGACATGCTTCGCCCTACAAGCAGTCGAACCGTGGGGCACGGACTCAAAACAAATCAAATTCACAAATCAACAAGGGGTGTCAGGGGCGTCTGAAATGGAGCTAGCATGGAAACGCCGTTTTGTCAATGGCAATTGGAAGCACCTCAACCTGGCGTCTTCACCCCTTCACAAGAGGTCGTGTAACTTGGAAGCCCTTCTGCGAAGATCAACAGCCCATAGCCCCAGGAGGACGATTCTCACTATGGGGAGGTGATGCACACACACCTTGGCAGCTCCAGTTCCAAGCCATCCTCACTTAACACCAATCACTAAGCCTGCGGGCTTTCAGTTTTGGGTCCCAATGTGAATCAAACTGTTCGGGCAGAAACTTCCAACCATGTCAGTTCCGCAGACTTCAGAGGGACTACCGACTTTCCGAGTTCTGCATCAACTTCCGTCAACTGGGCTCAGCACATTCCCAGGAGAAGTTCTTCATCCTGCGGATTTCATCCAATGCACAACAAACCTCTGACCAAGACCTCCCACAGGATGTTGCAATGCAAGAAGTTGGTGAACAACGCCCAGCATGAAAAACATGCAAAGCGAATGTAGACTCTGATTCACCCAAAATATCTTGAGTGGCTTTGCAAACCAAATGGTGCTTACTACTCCAGAATCAAACAAATATTATGAGAACCACTTCCCGAATTCTCGAAGCCTTCTGCTTGACATCGAGCTGGTGTTGTCAATGCCGGGCCAATGAACCCACGAAGCCAAGCCCGTTTGAGCGCTATTCTCGATTCCGTGAGCGAAGCCGAAGCCGAAGTCTGGGTCAGCAAGACTCAGCCTAACCTCAAAACCATCCACCGAACTGGTCGTGTTGTAGCTGTGGGTTTGGACCCTCCTGTTGCACCACAGCGTTGTGGATTGAACTCAGCTGTCCCCGGGGACGATGATTCCGTCCCGAGGGCCGCCCGGGGGCCCTATCCGCCCGTCCTCCAGGCATGTGCCCACTGTGTGCGGGCAGGCGCCCTTCTGGCCGTTGAGGTTCCCAGCCACGTCAAAGCCAGCACACGGCGCACTGGCGAAACAAGGGACCGACCGGCAGGACCCACCTACGTGGGGTGGCCCAAGGGTCGGGTGTTCGCACTCCTGGCGAAACAGTTCTCTAAAATGTCGGAGAAGATATGAGGTATGACAAGATATGACAAGATATGATTCACATGACATTTCAGTTCAAAGCTGTTAATTCTTCCTTCTCGTGTGGGAGTTTGCGCATGTGATACTAAACTGGGGTGAGCGTGTTGATTACTTACAAAATCAAGTTATGTCTTAGATTGCTTTCTTGGACGAATTGGGTTCCTGAGCATCGCCAACTCTCATGCAGAACAAAGGGCTCCGGGAGGAGGTTATACGGACGATGAGCAAACGGTTAAACCCAGGGCCAAATCACCTGGCATCATTGGGGTCCCACAATATACCCACCCCACAAGCTTACATGGAACCTGAGAATTAGCTAGCGGAAGACCCTGTTCCTCTACAACCAAGTGGTTTAGGGTTCCATAGGCATGAACAGCCCCCTTTTGGACACCAATTGAGCAAAACCAGGTCAATGACACTGCCCCACAGCAAGGCCAACTTCAAGAAGCTCAGCTCCCATGCGGCCACTTGGATTTGCTTCAGGAACCGGAAAAAACATCTTCACCGAAAAGAGGATTCACTCACTGAGAAAATATCAGCCTAGGCAGTCTAGGCAGGGCCATCTGCAGTAAGGCTCCGGCTTCATGTTGAAAATGGTGTTGTCAAAGCCACAAGGCTGTGCTTCGCAACCTGTGGCGGTGCCAGGTACGCGCACCCCCAAGAGAATGACACCGTCTAAGAGGTTTCGCAGCGCGCCCCAAATTTAACAATGCAGAGACTTACACGGTCTAATTTAATCTTTCTTCATCCTTTTCACCAAAGGAACCAAACATGATCTTTTGGCCGGTCCACCCGCCCCCCCAAAAATCAGCTCGCCACAGCTAAGGCACAGGCATGTGAAGGCACTGGTGCGGATGGGGTTGGAGCCTTTGGTCAGCAAAGAGCACCTCGAAAGGCGAATCGGCCGAAACAATCTTCAACGACCTCCTTCTCGAGCGCAGATCACCGCGCTGCTATGTCTCTGTCCGGTCGCCCGCGGCATGTCACACTGTCGTAAATTGGAACCCGCTTGACAGCCATCTCCAAGCGGTTGGAGCAACTGGCTAGGACCTGCTACTGACAAAACAGCAAGGGACTTGAGGCAAGCACTTGAAATAGCACAAGTCCTCAAAAAGCCTTGGAGGTGCGACGGCACTGATTGAACGCAATCCTTGAATCTTCTGGCATGTCTTCTTGGATCAAATGGAGAGAGTTGCAACAAAGATTGTGCTCTGATATGCTGCCCATGTTTGAGCCACACTGTGAACGAGAACATGACACTTGGTGTTCTGGGTTTCCTGAGTGTCCAGGCTCCTCGTCATCTCCACACAAATTGCCGTCGTGCATGTTCCTTAGGTTCGTAGAATGATGAAACATCCAAGCACGTGGAAAGCGCCTGGATGGCACAACATTTTAAAACAGAACCCCCAAGTAGATCCAAGATGATCCAAGTAGTCATTTGCATTAGTTTCACTTCAAGAAGCCAACAAACTAGGACAACAAAATCCATTGGCACTGTGGCACGCTCCCACTCCCGCCAGGGGACTCGGAGGGCGCTTTGGAGAAGCCCGCGGAGGTGGCGGCACCCCCTTTGGGTGCCTCCCCTGGCGTCGAAATCGATCAAATTTAAAGGCATTTTTCACATGAAACAGGGCCTTTCTGTGGTCTTCCGTCATCTTCTGTCCTTTGATTTCAGTTCTTTTTCATGGTTTTCGTGAGGTTCTTTCTTTCTCTTACTTGCTCTCGGCCTTCTTTTTGTCCACCAAGACTTGGGGTGCACGCGACCCCCAAAAAACACGGCGCCTATCCGGCGGCGTACCCTCGGCCCGACGTAAACAAATCCGTGCCAGGCCGCCGTTGAAGAACCATGTATCCAAATTCTGGCCGAAGCGATGCGGCCGAAGTGAGCGAAGTGTTGCGCGAGTGTTTTCAGCCGAAGGCCGAACTTCCAGGGGTTCAGTCACAGGAAGACCAAGGTATTAGCGAACGTCAGCTAACTAGCAAGTTTGATGACTTTAGCATACTTTAACTCTAGTTTTTCTTTCTGCTATTCGTCTGCTTCGTCAATCACCATGGGCTTTTTGTCGTCTTCGGTTACGGTTCATCTACAGTGCTGCTGAGCACCACCTGCTGCAGCACATCTGAGACTGCAAAAGCTGCAAAGCATCTACTCAGTACTCCGGACGTTTGTTGCAGTGCCTGGTACTTCCTCATGAGAGAAGCCAGGTCCTGGAACTTTGGCTTGAGTGGCAACTGGCGACTCTACACGAATGATCCTCCAACACAGCCTTGCTGTGAAGCAGCACTCCACATGTTTGTTTTTGCAAAGTTTTTTCCTTTGGCCCTCCTGTCCAAGGAATTTGAGGACTCAAGTCGTGTCCTATTAATCTGCCGTCGAGGACCGATGTAGCTCACACCTAAATCTTTCCCTGGACTCATCATTGCAAAGCCTGGATCCTCAAACATCTGCAAGCTGCCCTAAAACAATTCTGCCTGCCTTGAGTTTCGTTTTCTTTTTCAACTCACCCCTTGCTGTGGTGTCGGACTGAAGCCTTGGGGTGCTCATCACTTGAGACTCCTTTTCTCACTCCAACCGATGAAGTTGGAGTTCCAACCGGAGCCAAAACGATTCTTAGAGTCTTAGAGTTCAAGCCTTCAAGGAGAGGCAACAAAAACTCTGTTAACAAATTGACGGCCGTTCCCGTTGGCATCACATGGTCATTCCACTTGCGTTCCTCATCAAACAGCGCCCGCCGCCGCCACAAAATCATCATCAGGCAAAAGGATTACTAAATTACACGCTACGCCGCTACGCGGCTACATTATGTACTGTAACTATGTATTTTTATGTTCTCGCCAGTGCGTCACCATGACACTAGCCTTCATGCAGAAAAATATCTCAAACACATGGCCTTTCGTAGTGAGACGAACTGTTTCACGACTCTTTCCCTGGATGAACTTATTCGTCAGCGCCTGGTGCCATCGAAGGACATCGACTCTGGCGAAGGTAGCCTGTTGAGAAAGGCTTCGCCAAGGCCCAGCAAAGGTATGACGGGGGACCCCTGACTTCTACACCTAGTTCTACAAATTACTTCTGTCCCTCTTGCATTGAGAGCTGCAGCTGTCACGAGGGTTACTGACTGCTATTTTCCATGAACAAAAAGACTGAAAACAAGTACCAGTAGCATGATTAATAGTTGATTGTGGATTGCAGGCATGTATCTTAACAAGTTTCCAAACTGTCATGACTGCTGCTGCCATGTCCCGCCATCGCCAAGATCGTCACCATGAGCAGCGCCACACCCACCCTTCTGCCACGCACTGCCCACAACGAGTCGTTGTGAGGCCCTGAGTTCAGCGTCTATGGCGCAGAGCGGTCACATGTGAAAGCAATCCAAGCGTTGCCAGGGTTCCAACCATTCAATGGTATAGTGATATGGGAAACTGGGCAGCCCAACTTCGCCTGCTCCTAGGTATTGAACAGGTGCATATGTTTTGGACATGGTTGCTCCAGTGTCGCCTTGGTGCTGAAGAATTGGTTATGAAGGAATTCATGATGCTCAATTGAAATGGGCAACCCCTCATGGAACAATTCATTAACCTGTATAACTGCATAACTCTCTTGAATCTGTAGGCTTAGGGGCTTTTCGGACGACGTCTCGTTTCACACCTCGCAGGGCTCATCTTTTAAGCCCACACCCAACAAAACAACATATATATATATATACATACACATATTTTAGGCTATGATGATGCGAATCGCCTTCAATGAGCGTCAGCTATACACCCAGCACAATGCTGCCCTCCACAAAAAACCAAGCCCCCAGCAATGGTCTTCATGCACATCGGTCGGGTGCATCGTGTGCGGGTCCTCATGCGAACACAGGTGCATGTGCATGTCAGGCCGTGTGTTGCCAATTGATTCCACAAATTCTCCGGGATAATTTTCACAGAGCCTCAGGGTTCCACAAGCCTCTTCACATGGCGGGCCAACCTAAATAATCGACCATCTTGCTTTCCTCCCGTCAGCTGGGCAAGCACCTGCGATCTCAGCACCAAACCCGGCCCATCAAAAGCTTGTGATTCTTGGCACGATCTGCAGGTCTTCGCTGCACCGCCATCAGCGACGCCGTGTGGCATCGTTTTGAGTCACTCAGAGGTCTCCAACTTTGCGCAGGACACCTGAGCTGGTTGGTCCCAAGTCCCACCCCACTAATACCTGCCAAACGAAATAGGTTGTAAGACTTATGATTCGGTGCGTGGCAACCACTCCAACTGACTGCAACACGAAAAAACTCCAGTCCGAAACTCACCGAGGTGATACACCCGAATTCTGCGAATTGAATGCGGCTGGTGTACATTCCTATTGATGTACCCCTATGGGAAACTTCTCACATCAAACGAAAGAGAGTGGGAGGTTGTGGAGGCCCGTGTTTTACAGTGCTTTGTGTTTGTGAGCGTACGCATTACAACAAACCAATACCAAATATACATGTATGTTCCAGAGCATTAAGTCTTAGATGAGTTGGAATGTTATGCACAAAGTATACATCGTTTTTCAGGAAACACCCCCGAACACTTTTTTGGGACGTGCATATAACAATCAAACCAGCGTATTGTTTCCGGGAAACACTATTCCTCAAAAATGAAAGAAGATAGGCCCCGCAGTACAAAGATGCTACTGTTGATGGACAAAATCCAGCACCACTGGACGAACAAACTCATGTATACCCTCGCGCTCCCTCTTTAACATTGAGTTGAGGAAATGCCTGAACCAGAAAAAAGTTGAACGACCAAAATCCTGCATCACACATAGCAAACATTGAGACAACATTGAGTTGGGGGGCACGGGGGTCTGTACTATTGGAGGACCTCATGTGTTGCTTTATCGATGCAGGATTTCGTCCATCAAACAAAGATGCTATGACTCTTCAGTTTTGGATGTTCGGCACGAATGCCTTTGCCAAAGCCAAGCTGCAATCTGTTCTTTCCGTCTGTACCGACATCGTGCGGCAGCCGAGCACAAAGGAGTCAACAAACTGACCCTTCGCGTGGGACACTGCAGCATGCAAAAAGTTTAGCTCTCTTGCCATGCCATGGTGACAGAGCACTGTGCACCATCAGTTACTGATAACGCTGGAATTTGCATCAACTCTTGTGTTTCTGCGCATGGAACTCCGCACATCAACATTTCCCAAGAGTCGCATCACCTTTTCTGACGCCTGGAACTCCACATCTTTGATTTATTTTGTAAGTTCTTTCTGTGTTTTAATCACCTCAAGTGTCATTGTTCCCATGGGGCAGAAGTTATGACAGTCATCATGGCTAATGGCTTTAAAGTTGAAACCAACAATCCCTATTGGAACTATTGGGAGCTCACATGATTGGGGCCTTGCACCAAGCCACGCTTGCATCAACCTACCCGTAACAAGTTTGCCAACTTTTCAGCTCCGGCTGCTTCAAGCCTTCACCTGGCAGACTTGGGAACTTTCCGGAATCGCAGCTTGCGATCGTGAGACACCCATTCTGGCCAGGCCTCTCGCCCTTTCTTGGACTCCAAAAAATTTCTTGGCCGCTTGTTCCTTGAAAGACACCGGGTGCAATGGATTTTGTTTGGAAGCCTTTGGTTTTCGAGTATCACCCACGTGGAGTTGAGCCAGCGCCGTCACTTCCTTGCGCTTGGCGCGGGGAAAGTGAGAGCATATCATGCTGGCGCAGCCAGTCGGTGTGGCGCAATCATGCTCGTCCCCACTGTTTGGCACATCTTCGTCTGAGTCCTCACAGCTGGTGGCATTTTGGGAGCTGCGCAGGCTGCAGAGGAGGGAGGCGCACTTTCAGCAGCAGGCTCACTGGCTGCTCCCTCTTCTCGCTTAGCTTCCTGTGCCGCAAGCCTTTGAGGAGATCATTGGCTGCGGCTGCATGGATCATTTCACGCGACTCACCATCTTCTGCTTGTCAAGTGCTGCTGGAGCGTGCTTGGCCCCCTCATCGCCTCCGCCACTAATGCCCTCTTCATTAGGCGGGAAGCACCGGCTGGTAGCGCAACGCCCCGCATGGAAAAGAATCAGGGCCACCGCCTTATCTGGCGTCTCGGTCTTCTCTGCACGAGGCTTCGTGCTTCCACCACACGCAGCAGGGCGCTTTCCCATGGTGCTGCAAAGGTAAGCAGCTCTAGGCTTGCAGAAAGTTCAGGCACCTTTGCACTATTCCATTCACCACGGCCCCATATAAACCTCCATATACAATGCAGCTTTGTAGCCTGAGAGTTCAGCGTCTGATTTACCATTCCTTGTGCCCTGCCCATGGAAATATAAGGAGCAAGGATGCAGCGATTAGAACGTAGAGCGAGCTGTAGCATAGGCTCACATGAGATATGAAAAGCTAAACCGCACGGCAACGCAGTCAAACAACATTCATTGCCACAGCTCACTCCAATTCAATGACCATTTTGGGAGTACTGAAATCCATTGGAATTGATTCAATTTTTTAGATATCTTTTTTGCATCTCAACTAGTAGAGCTTCATTTCCACCAAGCTAAACGCAAGTCGATGCGACTTCCCCAACATGTTCGCGCAAGGCAGGAGTGGATTTGGAATACACCGAAGCGATTTCCAGGATTGACAGTAACAGAACGGCACGCCCAACGTTTCCAGATTTCTTGAATCCGGGGATCAGGCGCTGAAGTGGCTCGGATCTTTGCCCAACTCTCAGCAGGAGGCTTTCCTCCAGACCTCACACCTCGCCTAAGGCCTAAATGGCCAAGGTCCGGCCGGCCTTCCATATTCTTTGTTAGTTCCATCTTCATCCCGACATTTGAAAAAACAACCCTCTTCAGTCTGAAGGAAGCTTGAAGATTTGGAGGAAAGAGTCCTGATCGTCTTCTCGCGAAACAGCTCTGAACAACTGCCAGTACGTGATACTTCCAGTAAGCTTGTGCCATCGCATTCTAAGAGTCCGCACATGTCCACACCCTACCCCACCCCACCACAATTTAATCCCACTTTCGTTCGATGACAATGTTATGAATACGATGACAATGTTGTGAAACCGATGACAATGTTGTGAAACCGATGGCAGAAGATGACAAATGATGATGTTTATGGTGATGAGACGTTCTCAAATACGACTAAACGCTACTACGGTTCTCGGGCCGTAGGCATGCTTATGTACTAACCAATTCGGGGGCAAACATCTTTCTTCGCGGAACACGTTTTTCTGTGTTTTCTTGGTGCCCGACTTGGCTGCAGCACCGAAGAAAGATTGGGCGGGGGACAGCCTCCAGCTGCAGTAAACCCGACGTCACACTTTGGAGAGCACAATGATGCAAAATGGCACATGTTCCTTCCAAGAGAGTTATCCATATAATTCCATGCATACATATATATATATATATACAGTACATATACACATACATGCCCACCCACAATTCCCCGCAACCACAAAGTGGATTAAATCGACAAATTCCTACAAAACTAGACCATCAAACAGCAAGCAGTATGCAAGCAATATATATATATATATATAGACATGCTCAGTCAAGCAGGTCATCGTGCCCTCTTTGTTGGTTAATTTCAATATCTGTCAATGGGTCAAATTTCTTTGGACGTCTACGCCTCTCGCATCGCCCCTGTAGCACCCTATGCCCCATGCATAGCTAAGCTATGCTGGAGGACATGTCATAAAGATTTGCAAAGAGAAAAGAACATGAAAACACTGCGAATCTTCAGGCCTTTTCTTGTGTGCCATGTTAGTGTTCCTATTCATTCGATTTTTGACCGAATATTTCAATCGTTTTAATTATATACTGTTATACTTGTGTCATCATTTCGACCAAGATGATGAATCCCTGTGGTTTGATCCCTTTGGTTGGGCGAGTGCTGATGTGTAAGATTGGGGATCCCAGTGTTTTTTTTCCTCCAAATGGCTTGTAAGTAAAAATCGTTAAAACTGCCATTCAACTCCCTACAATGCATTTCCTCATGCATCAACTCTCTAATCTTACAAGCAGAAAATAAAACTACAGAATCGGGCATCAACATGCGACAAGCAAACTCTTCTCTACAAAATGGGGTGATGTTTTACTGATTGATACAGCCAAGCCGTGATACCCCACGGAATGTAGCGGACACATTTATGGACAAGACATGACAAAACCATGGACAAGCTATATGGGTGTCCTCCTGGTCTCCACATGGGCCCCCGACCGAACGCAGGTCGATGGCGTGCAAGACCGCCTCGCGGAGACACCAGGCCACTGCCCGTCGACCTGGGCAGCTGAAATGGATCAATGGCACCTTTCACAGGGGTGGTGACTTGCTCATCCCCAAGGTGGTGACTGGGATGCTCCCAAGGGATTTCATATGATTTCATCCTGTTCATTTAATCCCCTCAAGTTCACTCCACTTGCCACACAAATTCCGTGAGCTGTGACACTATTGGTGGCTCTAGGGAGCAGTGAGTCGGTCCGGTCGGCCGGACCCCGGTCGGCTCATGTCGTGTCGCCCGGAGCCAGTTCCGAAAAAGGACCTGGTGATGTCACCGGATGGGCCCCCTGTTCTGAAAGGATCTAGAAATTGAAGGAAACCAATGGATTCATCACCAGGTTGATGTCATGATTGGGCCGCTGGATAGACTCGTGAATTTGGCTGAATAACGCATTCCTTCAAAAACGGTTTGGTAACCAATGTGAGATACATTTGCCTCGGCATCATCCAAGGTCTGAGGCCCGCATCCAATAGCCATGGTGGATATGACTCTGTTCGTCTCATATTCAACCTCCAGGGTCAGTCGCCTTTGTGCAGTCACTTCTGCTTGCTGCAGCCCAAGAGTCTCTCCCAATCCACTTCAGCACCGCCGTTCCAACCGCCATTCCAAGCTGGAGTGGATGAATGTTTGACCTCCTCCTCAAGGGATATCCTGACAAGATTCTGCACCCGGTCAACGGTTCACAGTCATTCTCAGACAGCATCAGACCATCTACTACCTATCTGAGTTATAAGAAGTACCGGTCGTCCAATACGGTCGACCGGAACGCACGTTTGCGGTCGTTTGCATGTCTTTTCATTCATATGGTCCAATACGGTCCAATGGATGCCACCCCTGCGCCCAAGCTGCTCCCGCTTGCTGCCATCTTGAAGATTCCACAACAGCAGCATTTTCTGGGCAAAACCTCAGTGCTTGGACACTTTGAGGAGCTATATGCTTGGAAACGCTTGCAAGCACCCTCCCCAAACATGGACTCTAACATAAGACCTTGGACCCAGAATCCCCAGTTAGTGTAGGTTCGTTGTTCCGTACTAGACACCTTAGCTTAACAGTTCTTTGCATCTATGGCACTTTGGCGTCGAAACGTCTCGACAAAGAGAAAAAAACATACCCTAAGGAACGCAGGAAGTGGCTGATATCCTCTGGGGCCATAAACTGGCTGGAAGGCCTAATTACTTGGCAAGTTCTAGTTCTGGGCAGTATGTTGATCTCGCGCATGCTCTGCAGGATGCTCTGCAGCATCTGAGCCTCACAAAGGCTACTCAGTTTAGCCCTGAAGCTGTAGCTCAGCACTTGCGCACTCTCCCAATTCACATGCCTTGGTTGGCACGGTGCAGCTGCAGTGCCAAGTGTGGCGCTTCAAAGCCATGTCCGTCCATCCCTACTGCTATTCACTGGAATCTACTGGAAACCACAAAACCATGGGTTTCATTCACGACTATGAAGGTCCGATAGGTTTTCTCTAAAATCAATTTTGGGACTCCTCGAACGTGTACACCTACTGCCAGTGCTGTTACCTGAAGGCGTCGTGTACCACTTGAGTGTAAAAAACCTCCGACAGGAAGTGTTGGGTGCGACTCATAAGACGTAATTGCTCATAACCGCCGACAAGAAAATGGCCCAAATTCTCAATGCCACACGAATGCAGGGATGTATATCTATGTTATTGTGTCTTCTTCACTTGGGCAGTTGCTACAGTGTTTGGGGCGTCACCTGAATTTGCTCCCTTCTGGTAGAGGCCAAAGATTCTTATTGAAAAGGCGCACAATATCATAAACATGCCACACACACATATATATATAACCTAAGAATAGATCCCCTAACTCTTCAGTTCAATCCTTCTCCCATGTCGTTGATCTCCGATTCTTCCGCCCCAGTAGCGCGCCCCACACGGGGCCCACGTGACCCGACAGGAGCAACAAGCATTGCAAAGCCTCCGAGGCTTTGCCGGTGACGGCGGGCGGCATCTGGGGGCATCAAGCTGTGACGGGACTCGAACCCCGAAGTCGGCATAAGTCAACAGCATGGAAGCGGCTTGCTGGTTCGATAGTGACATGTGTGCAGCTTGAGAAGGATGCTCCACCAAGCAATGGTGAACTATGAAGAACTAGTGACTATATAACTGCGGTTGTTTGGTGCTGGTGCTTTGGTCAGGTTTTCATGTGGTCAAGGGGGGGTTACCAACTCGCGAAAACAGAATCCCCCAAAAGAGCCAAACTCTAGACTCTCAATGTGGAAAGAATGAATGAAGACACCATGCTGAATCCAATGACCATCCCGGATTGAAGTCAGGACCCGGACTTCAAAGAGCAAACTCCACATGCAAGGTGACAGGGTGACTTTCCAAAACCTTTCTGAATGCACAACCTGCAAGGTGTTCTGAACTTCAAGGTGTTCTTCTTCCAAAACCTTTCTGAACATCTGAAGAAAATTGCCAGTCGGCTCCTTTTTCGTGACAGCGGCCGTGAGCAACTCAGCCACCGGCTCGCCTGTTTTCGCGAGCGACAGCGAGTGCCGCTGGTGAAACGTCGCCCCCGCAGATCAGTGTCTACTGTTCACATCTGTTAACGTCTCAAAAGAAACGCATCACCATACACCCATCCATCACACCTGGTACAATCCATTCATTCCTCCAGGTGTCCTCCATGATCTGGACTTCCCCACGTGACGATGGTGCCATCCTTCCGCACCGCGGCCAACGCCAGCTTCGAGGCCGAGACATACCTGGTCCGCTCCGATGCACTTGACGTCACGTCCGGACGAGTCTCCGGGTCGGTGGAACGGGCTAGCGTTGCTACACTCATTGAAGGGGCTGTCTCCACAACAAAAATGCTTCAGTGTGTGTGTGGTCTGTCAAGCCCACAAAGTCAACTCCTGCTGCATCTTGGGCACTCAACATCTACCAGCCGCTTTTGCAGATCGGGATCGTCACACATGTCATCTTGGTGGCCCCAGGTGACGACTCGACCATCAGACCGCAAGGCTGCGAATGAGGATTGGCTGGAATACAGCGTCTCGACCTTCACCAGCTGGTCCTGTCACGAAGGGAGCTGTGTAAGCTCTGGGTGACATGGGCAAGAAGTACCACAACAATAAGTCGGGAATTGAAGCCTTCAGCATGCCAAAGGCATCTTTCTCCTACTGTACAACAAGCCTACACCATATAATCAACGAATCTCCCTCTCATCATCCGCTGTTGAAGTAACATCCCAACGTCCAAAATCGGATGAACTCCGCTCCTGAACTGCGCTGGCATCTCCACCATACACAGGATGACCCCAGACCACCACTTGCCCATCCGATCTTAGGGCGGCGAAGGCATGCTTGGTCGCTCGGATCTCGATCACCTCAGGCGGAGGCAATACGGTGCCGGGAAAGGAGCGCGGATGAGGTCAGGTGTAGCCTAGCTCTTGATTCTGAAACATGCGCTTGCGCACCCGCTTGTGACCAAAAAATGGCCGCCGAGGGGCATCAATCAGCCTGTCACTCACAGCATTGCTGTCCCCGCCATGCATTGGATCACCCCAGGTTACAACTCTGCTCCTGACAGGCTGGCTCTTGACAAAGCACATCCGTAGACATGATAGACCAGCAAGGGCCAACAAAAAGTAGCTAGCAGCTAGCACAGTAGAGGGTAAGCAAGTGTATCTTTCACCATATCTCCCAAGTTATTACTATGTCTTCCTCATACAGTTGATGCAGAACCATCGTCAAAATTTTGCACCATGTGTGAAACCAAAGGTGGCCTTCACAGAAAGCCCACCAGCCAGGAGCCAAGCTATGGTGAACGAGAATCATGACACGTCATGAACTTAAATTAAAACTTAATGGATCCCAGTTACCGGGGTTTCATTTGGTGTACGGTATTGCTCGATCTGGAACGACGGGTGACCTACGAACTAGTGCTTTGCCTGGATCCACTGGAAAACCTCGACACCCAAACTGCTCCTGAGCTGAACTTGGACACCCTTGGAGGCATCAACATTCGCTTGCACGCTGATGGCTGCGAAGGCACCTGAAAGTATCAAGCATCAAGCATCGAGCACCCCGTCATGACCAGCAACCCAAAAGAGCTTCCTTAAAACGCTTTTGTTTACGTCATGGAAAGGCCGACTAGTCTTTCTTTTCGTCCCTTCCGAGAAGAAGCAGCGGTTGGCTTGACTGGCATCCAAGGTGCTTTTCGATGCCTCAATGTGATGCACCCCAGTCAGATTTGATTCCACGCTGCTGCTGTCCCCTCCATGTTCTGCAGGACCCCAAGTTACGACTGTCCCATCTTCTCCTTGCTGCTGGGTGGCTGGAAGCTACAAAACATGTTGGCTGTATGTTGATACAAACCGCTGCACCAGTTGGTGCCGATGCCGGACTTCCACTATCTACTACCATCATTGCCCAATGGCCATCAACAGCGTCCGCATATCCACGTAAGTAGCCCGGGATCAAAGTTGTTCTCTCATGGAGTCTGATGGCGCGGCCCAAATCAATGAATCAATTGAATCAATGAAGGTAAATGCGAGGGTTTACCTGGGCCTACCTTCCCATAAGTCACAATACGTTTCTCGGCTTGTCTTGATGGACTTGGAACCTGCCCCAGGGTTGAAACCATTGAGGCTTGGAGACTTGTACAGCAAAGCCTCTGACTGCTGCGAAAGCAAACTTGGAGGTATAGACACGCTTGACCTTCCTCAACTTTGCTTGCACGATCTCACTGTTACCGCCAGCATCAGGGTCTCCCCAGGTAACCACCTCACCATCTTGGCGGATGGCAGCGAAAGCACTGACGGAGGCGACGATGTGCTTGACACCTTGCAATTGGCTTTTAACCTCCCGGGCGCTGCAAGTAAACAATCTGTCTTTCTCTTGGTGGAATTGTCGCATATCCTGGCAAGTTAACTGACTCGAATCAATAAATATGACTTGTCTGAGTCTGAGTCTAGGTTCTTGCCCGCTGTGTGACGCAGAGAACGCCATAGCTGTGAACATGGTGACCAGTGAATTAGGGTTGCGATGCCGGAAGACGCATTCTGAAAGTATAGCAATAGATCGATACAGTAGATAGATTCTATAGATAGATCCATGGATTCGATGGATAGATAGATTATATTAGATTATGATAGACTGATGAAATACATATGTAAGACATGGTAAGCCCTCATGTTGTTCCGCATCGTCCCACCTTAGGCGTGATGTGACCTCCACCATCCGGATCTCCCCAGCACACCACCTGGGTGGCCGACGCGCAGGCAAGCAGCTGCTGGAAGGGACCGTCTCTCACCATCAGTTTATCCAGGCTTATCCAAATGGCCTCGTTCTTGTGAAGGATTCGGTTTTCTGCGACTTGAGTTCCCGCACTTCTTGCAGCTCAGGTGTTCTTATCCAACAGCCCTGATGACGCTTCAAAAGATATGTCCGGTGACTCCCCACCAATGGAAAGGTCTCCTGGCCTTGACTGAGCGAAATTGTACCCCCGAGCAACAACATGCCTATATAGTGCGCACACAAGATTAAGTAACCTTTCCTTATTAACCACGCCCAGCTGGAGCCCCCAATGCTAAAGTAATTTAAAGCCTGAATTTCGACCTTGACATCCCCCTCATAACTTTCTCTCTGGCCAGAAACCTCCCCCCTATTAATCATCCTGATCCGCCCTCTGCCCATGCTGATCCTCTCATCCACCAATCATTCTCATCCTTCTTCTTGATCTTCTCATCTTCCTTGCTCTTCTCATCCTTCTCAGCGGCAATCTGTGCAGCCTATGTATACTCATATAATAGGCTGTGCATTTCTACACATTGCAGTCCACACACCCACTGGAATACCTGCACTTGCTGCATGCCCCAATCCCATCCAACTCAATCTTGGCTTTGGCTTTCAATTAGGCTGATGGCGTCTTGGTAAGCCAAATCGCAAGCCATGCGCCCCACAAGCACCATGGCAGCTGTTTCATCCATCCTATCAATGATCCTCAGCCATTTTGCCTATACTCACTGGCATCTGCTCATCTCTCTCCCATTGGGTGTCATAGGCCATAAGGTCATACCAACCCCCCACAGTTCACCAATCTGACGATCCACTATAGGCACCCACCCTCACCACATAGAGCCTCCATCTCCTATTCATCCTCCATGCCCTGGAGTGCAGTGATCTAATTGGCATGGCTCTCTGACCTATCCTATCAGATCTCTTATCAAGCTTGTGCCTATATGCTCAAAGCTCTCATGGTTCTCATGGTCATGATTCACTCAGAATCCCATCAACCATCATCCATCGTCAGGTCCAGGTCATCATCACCTTTATTGAGGGGATGTGGTCTCCAATACCTCCAATCTCAAACCTTGTTGACCTTGAAGAGGGGTTGATTAATCCGGTGTGTTGGCATTATAGCGGACCCTAACTGACTATATTATACTATATCTCTGCTTGACTGGAGTCTTGTGCTGGGAATGGTGCCAAACATGCTATCGCTGCTATCACTGATCCCCGGGACACACAATGAAACCTCGCCGGGAAAGCCGCTGAGCCATCCTCTTTGATCGCTGCAAAGGCATCTTTCGAGGCGAAGACTTTTCGTATGCCGACCAGCCTCATGGGGCAGCGAAAGCACTCTATTTGAGAGATTTCAAGATAGAGGGACCTTTTTGAGGCGTGTGGCCTTTTCACGAGCCAACCACTGAACCAATTGAGTGCTTGTTTGAAGTTCGCTACGCAGGCGCCAGAGCGTCACTCAGGGTGACGCAGGGTGACGCCAGGCAAGCTGAGTGATCTTGCAGAACCATGTGTTTCTCATCGTTTCTCTATGTTCTTTTGCCAAGAAGCTCGCTTTGAAGAGAGTCACTGTACAAGCCCCCGCCACTGCGAGGATTACCCCACCCAATGACCTTCCCATCTGCTCTGAGCGCTGCGAAGGCTGCAGAATTGGCTTCCTGAGAAATCCCCAACGGTCAGCAACCATGGAAAATCCCCAAACTTGGCATATACAGGTGTTTGTGTTGTTCTTAAATGTGTTTTCTTGATCACCTGGTGACTCCGGGATTTCATCATATGTTGATCAAGCAGCCCCCCAATGGTAAGAACGATGGCAGGAATGCCATAGGACTGGTAAACATGTCACGCATGCCATTTCAGAAAACATCCAGGGCTGGAAAACCAGCCATTCAGGTGTATCAATGAAATGTTGACACTGCACTGATAACACATAGAACATCACAGAATATCATGTCAACATAAACACATATTCCCTTTCCCAGAACATAAGAACCATGACAGTCCATGTGCCATCGTGTGTTTTGGTCCCGACACCCTAGCAGTAAACATAGCTCTACGACCCGCACCCAGTACGCCTCAACACTGCAGGATACTATATGTATATTCTGAATATATATAAATATAACAAACCTATACAAACCTATATATATATATACATGTGAGTGCGGTTGCTTAAGCCTTAAGTCTCAACATATTGTTTTTCCCCATGTTGGTTTCTGAAACAAGAAGCAATAGACTAATTTCCTTTTTGGATCGCTTTGGTGGCTAGGAGGCCCAGTCGCCTGGCCCTATGCTAGACTAAATCGAGCACGGAGTGTCGATGGTGACCAAATCCACCAGCTGCTCTTCCAGGTTCATTTGATCTGGGCGGCCGATATCATTCCTCAATTGGACTTGCAGTCAGGAACCCACACCAACAAAACACGAAAAACAATGTCTGGAGAGAGAGCCCAAGCAGGAACACCAAAAATGAAAGCGCGCACACACACACACACACGTGACGGGACAAACATGAGAGCAAATGAGAGAGCATATGCATTACAAATGCATTACAGCACGCGCCTGAGAGGGCACATATGAGAACACACGTATGAGAACACCACCTGAGAACACGCGCACACACACACACAGCAAAGCACACATCTGAGAGCAGAAAAATAAGAGCACACGCTGCCTGATAGCGCAAAACACAAAATATGCGAACACAAATATGAGAACTCTCTCACAGACACACACGACAGAATAATTACATATGAGAGCACCCGCATGAGAGCGCATAACACAAGGCATGAGAGTACATGTGGGCACTCCAAATCAAAACCTTCTCGGTGTTTCACAGCTTGGAGGAACTTCGAAAGCTACGGGGGTGGGAGTCGCGCGACCAGCATTCAAGTCAGTGAAACAAACACCTATGCTATGCCATTCGGAATGTGCTGATGTGGGCCTAGCCTATCGAAGGTTTGGAGGACAAAAGGGATTGCCTACAGCGACGGTTCATCTGCCATACGTGCTGACCTCAGTAGTCAGGGTGGCTATCTTCTGAGAGGCCATGTGCCACAAGGACGTAGCCGATGGGAAGCGCGAAGGGCATTATAAAGTAATCGACAGGAGGAATTGGAAATCGACAGCCGATGTCGCATCTTTCAGCCGAATCACAAAGGTTCATGGCCATCTTTTGGGATCTGATCTTCAAGGCAATGATGCCTTGAAGAACAATGTGGTCACCGGTCACATATGGACAACCCTCCACCACCAATGGTGGATGCCAAAGTACAGTGTCACTGTATGACGTCCTCGTCACGGATGAGATCCAAGTTGCAACTGGTGCTGACAAATGCACTAGATTGCAATAGAAGTAGATTGATTAGCATGCCACAACGCAAAAACAAACACCCCAGCCAACCTTGTCACCATGTTCGGCTGTGTGGAGGAAGTCTCGCCTTCACATGTTCGGCTGGACCTGGTGACTAGGTGGTTGGCTGCCTTCGGATGCTTGTTATTTAAAGCATGCGCGCCAAATGCGCCCTCGTGGTAGCACTCTTCGGAGAAATGGCACAAGCGGAGACCTTCTCCGCACCCCGGCCAGCTCGAGTCAGGACTGGTGAAGGATGGAGTCTTTACGAATTTGTCTCTTTTCACAAACCCACTTCGCTCGCCTCAAACCAGTGGTGGGCGGTGCGCCCCTCTGATGCCTTCTGAAAAAGTGCATGTTGCGCGCGGGGCGCACTTCGGACGTCGTGAACTTGGGACCGGTCACCCTCCCTACCCACAACTCTAAGATATATCTATCCCAATCTGTCGAAAAAACAAACGGTCAGCAAAACCAGGGCTCATGTCTCGGCAAGTGAAGCTTCCGCCGCCAAAGTCGTCGCCTGTGATAATGACTTTGCCTGTGTCTCAGTGCGACAGGCCATTGGGAAAGGAAGGGGGTAGCACTGCTGTCACTTGCTTGCTTGCTTTCTTACTTTGCTACGTGCGTATTACCTACCTACTGACTTTACTGACTTACTTACTTAGTTACTTCAAGTGGGAAAAGGGAACCTTGGTCAAAAAGGACTTTCTGCTTACTCGCCGGGTCACCATCTCCCAATAAAAAAGCAAAGGCCGTCTCCGTACAAAACACCTCCTGCACATCTTTCAGCTTCTCTTTAGTCCTGATGCGTTCAACAACAAAGCATCCGTCCCCCAATTACACCCTGCTGGGCGCCCGACCAACATTCGGCGCCGTGGCTTTGCCAATTGATGTGAACATTCTGGGGGGTAGAACTCTCCAAAACATGGCGCACAAACTTGTTTGTCTTGATATAATCATTGCTGAGCCAACAGCCAGCAGGTTCTCAATTGGGACATATCGAACGTACCCTTCCAGATCGCCGCTAAAGGGAGCTCAGTTTGTGACTAAGCCTAAGCAAGTTCTTAGCCATCTTAGCCTTTAGCATAGCTCCTGTATATAATTATGCTAATTATGCTGCCGTGTGGGATTTATTGCCATGAACATTTACAAACCTGCCCCATTTGAAGACCTTGAAACAGCCTGAGTGAACAAAACGACTCCAAGTGTCTTCGTGAAGAGGGTGCAATAATGTGGAAAGCCCCAAACTTGCACACTCCCATCTGGCTTGATGGCTGCAAAGCCCATTCCAAATTTGTGGGCCTTCACACGCACGTGGCCTGCAGGGTTTAGCCGAACCGAAACAGGTTGAAACACACGGGTTTTGCAGAATTTGCATATGTTCTTTGATTGAATAGAAGGTGCGACCCACGTGCAGCCCTTGATTGAACGCCTGGCGAGTCATCCCATGTTCATTTTGCAACACATGTCTCTCCACTCTTCATGGTACGATTCCTGCAAGGCCCTTTTTATACTACTTCCCTTCTTTCATTCTCTTTCTTGATTTTCTTCTCGTCTCCTGTCCTGCCTGGCACCACCACATAGATCTGGTCCCCATCCTTGAGACCCGCCTCACTCAAAGGGATCGCTCCCCGAAGCTTCACCCCATCTCCGCTGGTGAGATGGACATAGGCCGAGCCGATTTGACGTTGGATTTCGAAACGCAAGTCTTCGATGCTCACGCCCGCATCGATGGAGGTGGTCAAGACCTCACCGCTCAACAAGCACACCTGGAAGCTCCATGGCATCGTGGTGGTGGTGGAAGGCCGCGGAGAGGCTCCAGCGACTTGGAGAGGTCAAAGGCTGCAGCTTGGAGCACTTAGATTGAAAGCTTCAAGCTGGTCCTTGCTTACATGGAACTAAGGTTCCAAAAGAAAGGTGCATGAATGAACATGTGTTCCAAAATGTTCCAAGTGAAAGAAGTTCTCTCTCCACCAACGTCTCCCCAGCCCAAGTTCTCTTGAATCTGGGAAGTGAGGCCCTTGAAAAGCCCCCACTCTCCGCAGAACAAAGCCTCTGTTGTGTCTGATAGGTTCTTTTGGCTGTTCCTGGAGGAAAGAAATGCCGGGCAATGCCCAAGTCGCACTCTGGCGTGCAGCCCCAACGCACTGATAAGTATAAGAAGTAAACGACCGACAATGCTAGCCTTCAAGTCCCAAAGCCGCAAGGTGGCATCGTCACCTTGGGAAATCTGACAGAAGGGTGAAACAACTACTGCAATAAACCTACTGCAATTCTATGAGCACCTAAGTGGACAAAAAAATAAAGGATTCTTGGAAGGAACTTGGCTTTTGTCCCGTGTGTAGCCCTTGTGGGACACCAGAAAACCTGAACAAAACGCATCGATTTGAACAGATTTGCCCGTATACATTTACCCTTCCGACCTACTGTGCTGGATTTTAGTGGCATGTCTTGAAGTTCCCAAGGTAGGTCGTCTCAAGTAGGGTGGTCACTGATCGCAAACTCTTGACCTCTTCATGGTGTATCATGCCGCGACCAATCTCCTTCAATCACTTTTCGGAAATCCAAGGGAGGGGGGAACAACAACACTCGCATCAAAAACGAGAAATGCCAGGTCACTCCAGCTCAAGGCCCGGTCTTGATCCCAACAGGCCTAACCACGCAGTGCGCGATGCGGGACTCCGCACGAGGGCGGAGGCAGGCATGGAGGTGGCCTTTCAAACTGTTCCTGTCATCCTGAAAGTAAAAGCCTGCACTGCAGGAGGGAACATCACTTACCAGCAATTCAACACCATGAAATGTTCACCTACCAGTTTGCAATGCAAGCCCAAACCCTTACGTGGTATCAGTATCAAAGCTCAAGCGGCTTAAGCTATATACAACAATACACAAATACTTAAGAACGCTGCAGACTGGCTTGGAACCTTGATGTACCGTTTCTTTGCTGGCTCCTTTCGTGGGGGGTCGCTTCCAGATCGCCCCTGCAACCCCCACCCTCCGTCCTGTTCCGACCACGCCTCAGCCTTGCAAATGTGATCCCGGTGCCCCGTGAGCATATGACCCACGCGATGTCCGGCACCTTCATCCTGGCCGGCAGGGAGCTCCCGACGGCAGTGAAGGCACGGGTTCTCCCTCGCCATGTCCCTCCAACGCCTCTTTTTGGCTGACCTGGAGACATGTCAGCGTGTTTGGGATCCGTGTCGTTTTTTTTGGGGGCACATCATCACATCCGCCTTTTCAGCCGGCCCCCCTTCCCGTTTCTCAGTCTTGTCTTTCCACCTTGTCGACGGTTTCTGGGCGGAAACTACGTAAGATGGTTCCAATGAAACAAGACCAGCATATGATTGCGCAATCATACCCCCGAAAATGAACAACACATTCTCACTATCATAATACTAGTAGTATATAGTAGTAGTTTAGCTTGTAAGGTAGGATTGTTGCCCATGTCCGGCACAAAGGAATGGGGGTTAGTGTGACTACGACTATGCCTTAACACCGCCTTACGATCTGTCCTTCCATGTGACATGCACGTCTCCGACGTCTCGACGTCTCCGGACGTCGAGAGACGTCACCGACGTCGGTCTCCTGCCAGAGCCAAAGCACCGACTCGCTAGAGCTCAAACACCGGAGGGAACCTTCCCAATGACAGGTGGTCTCGGTGATCGCCTCAAGCGCCAGCTGGGTCAAGGCGAAGCAGCGGTGGCGGGACCGGTCAAAATTGATGCCCCGAAGTGTCGATGAATGAAGCCGGACCCAAACACACAAAGAGTCAGAGTAATCCGAGAACATCAAGAACACCCAGAAAACACCCCCTTCTGATAAAAAAAGAGACTCAGGTCGAGTTTGCCCCTTCCCCCACCGCATGTGTAGCGATCGTCTTCTGCTTTGTTTCTGGCACTGGTGTTGTTCATCTCCAGTGTCACAATTTTCCACTGCAAACTGCCAACCAATCTCAAATCATCTCGTTGACTGGAAGACATTTTGATCAAAAAAACCTTTCAATAACGCTTGGCAAAGGGACCCAACCCAATCCTCCATCCAGCCCATCATCACATGCTTTGTTCAATGGCCTGCTGATGCGGCATCTTCTCGAGCAGTTTCCCAGTTTCAAGGTCCCAAAGAAGGAGCAATCCATCTTCTCCCCAAGAGGCACCTTACAAAGTTTCTTTTCTCGCTGAACGATTGGGCACATTCGGGCACCAGTTCTGCCGGTTTGTTTTGATACACCATCAGTTTAGGATTAGCCAGCTAAGCCGCAAGCGGGTCAGTCTTGCCCTATGCGCTATACCTACCAGAGTTCTTCGTTTTGAGCAACAAGTGGAAGCAGCCCACTGAATACCCTTGCATGCACGATCTATTTCACGCTTCACTTTGATTGGCGGGATGTTGCCTTTGTGTTTGGTGCACTTTGCATTTGGCACTCTGATCCACAAGGACAGGGTATGGTTGCGTGCTGATCATATCCATTCCAAGCTCTGGTGCCAATGTTGTGGTCGACCCAAAACATACGTCCCCAGAGCCATACCCTAGACCACCATGCAGCCATTATATAGACGTAATCAAGCACGAACCTGGAGAACGCTGGGGAAATGATGCCTCTTCACTATGAGTCTATGAATGTTTCTGCCTGCTGCCTGCTTTAAATTTAGCCGTCTAGAACGTACAAAGGAATGCCACCTCACAAAATGGCCCGTAAATGTTGGATGATTGTGCTTAAAGTATATAATTCCGAGCAACTCTGCTGCTTCTCCCAGTTCACACAGAAGCCTGAAATATCATCCTGAGTCCCGGTCCATCAAATCTTACGGAGAGAGAGAGAGAGAGAGATGGAGAGAGACGAAGCACATTAACAAACAGCATGAATAAACTGAATAAACGTGATACTAGAACAAAAGTGAACAACCTTGTGAAGAAAAAGAAGACCTATCAGGATGAGCAACAATTACATTTTCGTGCAACAAGCGCCAAACTGATTTCAACCTCATGGTATGTATTCACCTCTGGATCTACAGATTCCACCTTTCAGGGATTCTATCTTTCAGTCATTTGGATCTTTACTCAATACTTCAATACTCCTTTCTTTTTCCGTGGAGTGTACTTCGTCGGTCCAAGCTGCTAGGTGGTGACGAAAGACCCACAGTAGTTGTCCGGTGGCCAGGTTCCAGAGATGCACCGCCATGCTCCTGAAGATGCACCACGGTCTTCTCCGATACAAATGATTGTTCTTCAATGCTGCATGCGTTCGGCTCCGACGGCCAATGGCGGTCACATGGGCCGATGGATGGCGATGGCCTCTTTGGCATGGCTGCTGTCAACCGAATGGAGCTAAGATCTTGAGCGGGTTGAAGAATAGTTGTTGGGCCATATTGGGCTACGAAGCACAGTCGTAATTCACGGGCGTTGATGTCGTACCGTACTGACTTTTACCAATGATTTTGGGACCAAGAGCAATAAGGCTTCCGTTCTTCTCAGGAGATGTCACTGTGTTTTCCAATAACTCAGTCAGTCAGGCATCAAATGAACATGGATGGCGTCCATCCGGCAGTTCTTCCGTCGACCCGTCGACGACCTGTCGCATGTCGGACCGAGATGGACTCGCCGTTGCCAGCGCGCTGCGACTGGGGCTTTCGACTGTGTAGTCTACAACAGCCGTTCCCACTGTTCAAGCCGGTGCCACTTGGCGCCCAACGCCCAAGCCATTGGTGCCTCCTAGACTACATCATACTACATCTGAGACAGCCAAACCCGAGCACCCCCAGCCGACGGTCAGTCCAGCAAGCTGCTAAACGGTCCGTGTCCCAGTCGGCTTCCAAACCGCAATCCACGAGATGTTCGAGACTGGAGATTCCTCGTACGCCGCCAAACCGACAAAAGCACACGGATGCATTCAGATTCAGAATTAATACTAAACATACACCTATGCACACGGCCTGTACGTATTTGGTGACATGAACTTAAGGAAAGGTCGAAGATGGATGACATCGACATGACTTCCAATGAGAAGCCTTCGAATGAGCGGCTCGGCTCGCGCATCGACTTGTTGGCCCAGCTTGGAGCCGACTCGTTGGTTGGAGTCCGTCCTTTCACCTGTTGGGGAGAGCATCTGACCTGGGATGACCGGTTGGAAGGCCCAGAACACCGGTTCTGATGCGCTTGCGCTTGAAGAACCGTCGGTGCCCTCCCCCGCTGCCAACTTCCAACCTCCCAACCAGTTGACACTACAGTCGACAGTTTGACCAGCCGAAGGTGTACACTCCCTCCACTTTAGTGCCGAGGTTCCGTGCAAAGAGTGGGACCAAAGCTCCTGGCCCTTTACCCAGGTCTTAATGGCATCGCCACCCATGGTGACCTCGAAAAAACTCCGAATGGTGGGGGATATGGCAACCACTTCTCAGCCATGTGCAACCTGTGCAATCTGCCACATATAGGCTGATCTATATTTAGTTCAAAATACATCTAGGAGCAAAATGATTAGTGCGAGCGCTTCTTCAAGGAAGCTCCCCGCGCCTGAGGAGGGCGCGGGGAGCTTCCTTGAAGAAACGCGAGCTATCCTGCGTCCAGTTACTAGAAGCTTTAGTAGCTACTGAATTAAGGGCGGGCCAAAGTTTAAATAACCACTTCCGGCATCTTTTGGCCTTCGCTGGCTTCAAAACAAACAGCATTGAGGCCGCCACGAAGCGAAGCCTTTCCCAGTCGGCCTCCACATCATGAACACCACCTGCCAAGTGCAAGTGACCACGTGAGCATCTCTGTGCAGTTCTGCCACTTCTGATTGTCACACCTGTGCAAGCTCTCACAACTAAGTATGCCAATTTAATATTTACTGTAAACAATGTGAAAACAATAGATCTTGTCCCAGACTTCACACGTTGTGAAATGAAGGCTAAATGGAGGGTGTGTGGAGAAAGGGGGTCAGCAAAAATCGCTTATACGAAGTTAGTGCATCAAAAATACCTTCCACGAAGTTCTGCGAAGGTTTCTGGGATTTCGTTGCAGTCAGATCTCCTACTGGCCCACCATTCCACGAACTGTCCACGAATAGCCTTGGGTTCTACGAATGTCCCGCGCCTTCCACGATGTTAGTAGAACAGGTTTTTGCAAAACCCTTTCTGTGCACTACCCTTCCGTTTGCCTCTGATGAAAGGCAAGCTTGTCAGCTTCAGCGAAGTGCCCAAAACATATTGAACAGTCGTGTACAAGGCTCACATTACTGTAAATGTTCTTGTTGCAGCTCATGTCTACGTATGTTGATGTATTGGAGTACAGCTAGGAGGCCCTTGGCGACTTTGCAGTTCTTCTGCGTGCGCGCGATGCCCTTCTGAATCTCTGTGAGACCGGGCCGAAGTGAGCACGCAGGGCATTGAAAAGCCCCACGTTGCGAGGTCCTCTACGCTGGTTCAGTACGAGGTCCTCGACGGGTGATGTTCACAGCCTGCCTTCATTGGCAACTACAATTCTTGCCGTGGAGAGGTGGCATGTGGCTGAGTCACTGGCATGGAGAGGTGGTTTGGATCAATTCCGCGCCCTCGGAGGGAGAAATGGCTCACCACCGAGTGGCAGCCCAAGGTATGTGATACTTCTTGCTCAATGGCTTTCCGCGCTCGTGGTGGGATATCTTTGCATGAAACCACATCCAATGCAGCATATTCGAATTCAGGCCAAGTATGAATCGACAGGTGGGATTCAGAGACAAGCAAAAGAGCTGTGAGTCCCTGTGGTTCAAACTTGTGTTCAACTCCGCCCAAAGCAGTGAGCTCTGCCAAATCCGCAATGTTTTTCATCAACGTGCCTGCAGTGGTGACGTTATTCAAGGAATCAGCAGAGCAGCCATGTGCCTGCATCATGAATGCTTCAATCAAGAAGTCATTGCTTGGTTCAGGATGCCAAGGTGGAAAAGCTTCGAAGCGACGTTGAAGCTCCAGCGGCAGCACGAAGAGTGCCCGATGCAAATGTGGATGATAGTAGGTCGTGGGCGCCCCGCTGTCTGCAAAGCCCTGCCAATGCTGCATTGACACTCTGGCTGGATCCAGCTGTGGGTCATTGGTGCTCAATAGGAGCAGCCGTGGGGGGCGGAAATAGAGGCCATCAAATTCATCACCTCAGCGGAAGCACACCCTTTTTCCAATGGATCCCTGACAAAGGGATTCACAAACTGGGGACACTACGCACACCATCTGTCATAGAGGGCGCTGGTTAAAGGACAATTCACAATAGGAAGCAATTAAGTATAATCATCCTGGAGTAGATGAAATGAACGAATTTTCAAAGAACAATTCACTCCTCAAAACCGGCCCTTCCAAACCCCATAGATAGAATATGGTTGTAGGGGCTTCTCTTCCTTTTCCTTTGTTGCCCTTTTCCTTCTCTGTTCGTTCTATTTTCTGTTCGTTCTAAAGAAAAGAACAAAGGAAAGGAACGCTTAGATAATACACATAGGCTCATAGGAACAGAACATGAAAATAACAAAGGAGCAAATACCGGAATGGGAGGAGCTGATGAGAATTTTATCACTATATTCTATCTATAGGGTCAGTCTTCATAAAAAAGAAAGGGATGTCAAGAACCGTGAGTTTCTTCAAAAAGAAAAACACCCCCTACGAAAGTAGATTCTATCTACTCCAGGATGATTATACACTCCCAGCCAAGAACAAGGCTACAGGACAGTGACAGTATTCGCCGGACTCACCACGGAATTTTGGGGGGCTTCACCTCAAAACTCTTCAAACAAGCCGCACCTCGGAGGATATTATATGCCCTCCAACTAGATCAAAACTCTTCCAACTCACATAACCTACAGCCAGCACAACGTCTAAGCCATCCCAGATCACCTGGCGCCGTGGGCTGCGGAGAGGAAGCGCTGCTGCTCATCGCGAGCGGCCAGCTTTGAGCGAAGACTTGCCGATGCAAGTCCAGTGTAGCACCAAAGCGCTCGGGCATGGCGATGCCTCGAGTGAGCGTTTCTCCACGGGTGGCGGATTAGGCCATCCAGACGGCAAGATGAACAGAATGGACTAGACATGTCATCAGATGTCCATTTGTGGAGCTTGTGAGGCTCATGGGGACTTGAGCAAAAGGGGGACCCAAATGGTTTGGTTCAAAACACCATCTCACCGGGGGATCCAAAAAACATCCAAAACCAAACTTCTTGTGATGCTAAGATGCTACCAGCTTCTTGCACGAATATGCCTTTAGGCGTGGTCAATGCTTGAAGACGCTGGTAAAAGCCACGAAGCTGAGGTATTCGAGTGGTTCTTCTGGGAGGCAGCCAAGGCTGATCAAAGACACTCAAAATAACGATATCAAACTGCTCCTCAGTCTTCAATATCCAGCTAAAGGCATTGTCCATAATCAACTGCGTTCGTGGGTCTGACAGTGCTTTCGCCTGTTGAGGGAAGTATGTCTGCACTGCCTGGACCACGAGCCTTGCAGGGTTTCCACCCTTGTGAGGTGAAACAGCGAAGCGACCTGTTTTCGGAGCGTGCCCCCCCCACACACTGGAGATGTTTGAAGAGATATCAACAAATGAAAAAAGATCAGCAGTTCCATGCCGGGGTGTCTATGGTGCCCATGATCCACTATTTCGAGCCCCCCAAACAGCCCTTTGGAACTGCTGGACGTTTGCTTTCTTGGCAAAGTGTGAGAAGCTCATCGACTTCGACCACCCGAAGCTTCTCCACCGAGGGCCAGCGTAAGGCCAGAGTTGCCAATGCTCCAGTTCCGCCACCAAGGACCAGGACTGATCTGGGCGATCCAAGAATGGACAAGGCAGGAAGGATGAGGCACTCATCGCGGTGCCAAGAATCAGAAGAAAGGATCGCATCCCACTCCTGATACAAACTTTCAGTGGTCTCCTTGGTGACCTTCACCAAGTTCCCTTCAGTGCTTTTCTGCTTGAAGAGTACCTTCTCTTTTCTGCTTGTGCTGCTTCCTAAAGGGCCGAGCGGTAGGGTGACCCGAGTGGGGTGTTCACTCGTGAGTGGCAGTCCTAGCAGCTGTGCCACATCTGTGGGTATTGCATTGAACAGCGCCATGTGCTGCGCTGGGCCATCGTAGTACTGCGTGGCAACCTGTTGACTCTCCCAAAAGCCCCAGTCCGCTTGCAAGGGCTGCAACTTGGGATCTGCACTGCTGAGGACAAGGATGTAGGGGCCCAAGTAGTCTGGAATCAGCGCGTGCATGGGAAACGTTGACCCAAAAACTAATGCATGAAGGCCAAACAGTTTATGCAAGTCTTGTGGGTTGGCAATCGTTCCAGCATTTTGAACAACGATGCCGTCGGTGGTTAGAAGACCTCGCAGCTGCGCAAAGAACTTTTCAGACCACGCCCCATCAAGTGGTTCATCCGTGAAGTCAATGACCACCAGGTCGAACTTTGCTTCGCTCGAGCTGTGCCTGTCCACCCACGCAAAGGCATCCGTATGCATCGCCTCACATCGAGGGTCATTGAATCCAGCAGCAACTTGGGGGAACCACTTCTTAGCGTGTTGTGTCACCATTGCATCAATGTCGATGTTTACAACTTGCTCCACCGTGGAGAACTGCAAGGCACAGGTCGCAATGCCACCATCACCCCCACCGAGAATGAGCACTCTGCGTTTCTTTGCTTCCCCCAAAAGATTAAGTGCTGGCAAAGTCATGGCTTCATGATAATAGCGCTCAAAACCCTCACTGAGCTGCCGGATGTCGCCCAGCACAAGCTCACGGCAAAGCCGATCTCCACACATGTTCAGCCAAATTTCCCCAACTTGAAAGCTGGATTTCCACTTGGCCAGCTCCTTCTGCTTGAAGTGACTCTGAGAAGTAATGAGTTCAGTAGATCCAGTGAGAACCTTCAAGATACCATCAAAGGCAGCCTGCGCTGCCTGAGCAAAGCGCCCAGCTCGGAGCTTGGTCTTGCACAGGACTTCGGCCGCGAGCCAATCGGTGGATTCTTGGAAGTATTTCTCGCCGATCGAAGGGTCGAAGAGAGAACCAGCAAGCTCAACTCCAAGTTCTGCACTCATCACCACGAGCACGTTGAGCGTTCTCCGATCAAAGAACCCCATGTGCTTGGCGAAGCTCTGAGCCCGGCTTGACAACAACTCACCGCGCCTGGAGGATGTGGCATCTACCAGGGCGAGACCAGCATGCACAGCCCAGTGACCTAAATGGGGGGCTGCTCATCTTAAGCTTAAAGGACTTCAGTAGTTGGATGATCTCATCCTGATCTGTTGAACTACTGCGCTCCAGTAGCCGATCCGGGTCATGAAGCACCACACCTTGATCGTCCTGAAGGGGCTGATGGTCAGGATCAGGCTTGAAGAAGCCAAAGGTTCCAAGCTCATGAACCAGGCAGCACAGTATCAGACTTAAAGACCAGCGACGCATTGTGGCTGAGGCCAACTCGGAATGGCAGTCCAAACCTCTCTCTTGGTGGTGACTATGCCATGAGGTCGCTTGGTCGCTTGAAGTGGTAATCAGAATGAAATGGAACGAACAAACAACGTAGTCAAACAAATGATGTTTACCTTTGTTTAGGATTTCTGGGTTGGGATTTCTAAGCCCCCCTTTGAGGTACAATGTCTGTCTGACTCCGGAACTCACGACTACCTCTCCTACGTCATGGGCTGGTGTGATCTTTGGCTTCTCATGCAGCTAACCCCAGCACGGTGGCCCTTGCTATGACTGGCTCGGTCAACTTGGTCAACGAGCAGCACTTCCCTTTGTGCACAGCTAGGCCATGCTAGGCCCCTAGGCCCACAGCATTGATGCGTCCGTGGGGTTCATCTTGGAATGAATGGTACGCACGCTTCCCCGAAGACCGTGAAGGCAGGCATTTCATGTTCCAGTTCCAGTTCTCAGTGGTTCCCTGTAAGTGTTTGGGTTGGAAGAGTCCAGCAGCAAATCACTCAAAGATACTCAAAGGCTTGTGTGTGAATGTGTGTGGGGATCTACTCTGAAGGTTGTGCGCCATTGTAAAGGTGAATCAGTCATCTCCAAACCTCTTGTACCTGCGCACCCGAGCCATCCACTTTGCGGGAGGGGCGTAACCAAAACAAATATTATTGCATAAGGGTTGCCAAAGGATACTAAACATATATCACCCACTCTTGAAGAGCCTCTATTGCAGATTCTTGATTCTTGCTTGCTGTACACCCTCGTATGCACACTGCTTGCATCCAACATGTACGCCATCCGTTCCGCACCCCCCCCATCAGGGGAGTGCAGCCGCTCTTCCTCCGTATGGAGCGAACGTCCCAGCCGCGGCGCCCCTTGTGACCGGCCTTGATGTGCCAAACGCCTTGACGGGCGAACGCGAAACCACCGCAGAATGGCGCGGTGCTAGCGCGGAAACGCCGTTGTTAGGGCCGGCATATGATGAAATGATCAATCAAGGCAAGCATCAGAAAACACATAACGGGCTATACAAAAAGTATATCACATCATATCATCAACCGCTTCGCATGAAATGTCATTCCACTGTATCACCTGCTCCAAGCTCGCCTGGCAAAACCACTTGATCGTTTGTGCTCGCTGCGCTTTGTCAACCGTGCTCGGTGGGTGTGCCAAGTAACGCAGTGCAACCCTTCAATCTGGACATTAACTTGCTCAAAACCAGACACCCAAAGCCACTAGAAGTTTAGCACACCTACTGGGATGATCAAGTTGGGTATACACGTGCGGAATTTCTTCCTTCCGCAGAGGGGGGCAATTCCAATCCACACACCAAGAGCCAAGAGGCTGGTACATTTGCTCTCCGCTCCTCGGATTTCAAACACATGGACAAGTACAATGGTCTCAGAGTAGATGGCCCAACCCCCAAGATGTCTATTGGATGGGGATCCAGATACACCACCTTTTGGGGATTGCGCCATCTACTCTGAAACCGCTATATACCTCCAACCTGCTGCAGAACGTCTGCAAAACGATTCTCCCGAAAACATTAGCGTAAACAGCAAACAAGTGGAACTGTTTATGCAAGCGAGGATGTGTTGACCTTTGATCTCGCTTCTGAGACTGTGTGGTCGTATGGAATCAATCAACCGCGAGAACATTTCTTGACCTTGAAAAAGCAGCTTCTATTGTCAATGCATATCGGCGCCTTTTGAGTGGCACTCCCGCCAGGACCATTATAGCTAGGATGATTAGATATGACGAGTCATGACGAGTCTATGCATCACCAAGAAAACGGCAAAAGCGAGTGTTAGCTTTGCTGATCAGTCCTCCGCAACATGAGCCGCAAAATGAGCGATGTTGTCTTGAGGTCAGAGCTGAAATGAAAGCAAGGAGCATCTGACATGATGCAACCATCATGGCACTGACTTCAACACTTGAGACAAACCCACGCAAAAATACAAAATCAGCTCTGCCATGTGTTCTGCGTCATCGGGACTTGTTCCTTTTTCTACAGTTATGTAGGGTGCCCAGTGGTCGCTCATGTCTGAAAATGACAAACTGGAAGAAGCGTGGACACCTAAGAACACAAAACGGAAGAACAAGAATTGATCAGCGGTGCTGGGACCATTTTGGGAATAGTTCATTGCCCCGTTAGTGGCCACCAGGAGTGTAGAACGAATGTTGACATAGGATTAATGAACCCCCCCATAAATCAAGCCCAGCTCAACCCCCCAATACTACAGGACATTAAAAGCATGAATTTACAGCTTGACATCCCCCTACTTTTTTCCTTTCCAGAAATTTATATATATATATACATATATATTCTTCAAGCCCAGCTGCCCCAGAAAAAAACACACAATAATTAGTCTACTATTATTATTGATGATCTCTTTGGGCTATATATCTGCTCATCTCCCTCCCATTGGGTGTCACAGGCCATCACGTCATACCAATCCTCCACACTCCACCAATCTGACCATCCAGTATAGGGGCCTACCCCCACCACTTAGCCTCCATCTCCCATTCCTCCTCCATGCTCCCTATGCAGTGATCCAATTGGCATGTGGCTCTGATCTATCAGAGCATCATCCATCATCACATCATCTCACATCCAGTCAGTGATCATCTCATCATCCACCATCAGGTCATCACCTTTATCGAGGGGATGTGGTCCTCCAACACCTCCAATCTCAAACCTTGTTGACCTTATTATTGACCTCGAAGGGGGGGCCGGTGATTAATCCGAAGTCGATATTATATATATAATATACTATATGGTTTCCCACCGAAGTGGTACGTTCGTAGAGACCAACCCCAAACCCTGTCGATTCACCTAAAAACACCCAGCCAAACATTGGATGGATCTCGGGCAAAACAAATGTGGAATTCAACATCATAAACTCCATGGTATCTTTTCCATTCTTTTCCTGTTGTATAAATCAAAGGAGATCAAAGGTCATATTCTAAATTTTCAATTTCCCACTGAACTTCCACCACCGAAAGATCCTGCCAGCGCCCGCCTCCGACCCGAGCCCGAGCGTCTGAAGGTCCCAGCAAATCCACACGCCCGCGGCGTCGTGGGTGACAGCCAGGTCTTTGCTCCAGTCCACTGCCACCTGAGGGTCGATGTCGACCCTCCACTGCGGCAGTTGTGCGACCCACAGCTGAGCAAGTGAGCTTTGGAGAATTGAGAGGCAAAAGAATGAGGAAGACTGTGTGATTGTTCCTACTTGACGGCCAGGCCATGCAAATTGGCCTTCCTGGGATGCGAGTCGGGAGATTGCTCGCACTGTATCAGCAACAGAGTGGATGTCACACCTGAAACAGCGGGTACAACTGGCCACTGCGAGATGTTGTTCTTTTGGATGCCCTTCAAATAGTCGCCGCACAGAGAGAGGGGGCTTTCATTAGAGGTTTTTTTCTTTAACCAAGAGTCCACATGCTCCGATTCCTTGCTCTCCTGCTGTTCTCAAACAGGGAACACCCACCCCGCCGCAGCTGCGTTCGTCGTCACGCGCCGCAGTGGCACAACGTTTACTGTATGTTTCGACTGCTGTCCGTCCGTGTCCACCTTGCTCCAATGGGTTTCATGTTTCAATGTTACAGTCGTTACAGTATTTTCTTTTGGCTACCTGGCTCAGCTCATCGGTTTGAAGAATTGCATCTTCCACAACGGACCATGCAGGGACCATGCAGGGACCACTGGAACCGCACCCGCGCACTCGGACCATGCGAACCGGAAGGTTCCGCAATCTTGGACACGGTGATATGAACCATTCCGGACCGTCTTCATGCGATGGTGACATGGTGTCATCGTGATACTCTTCCTGGTTGTGCTCAACCTTTAGACTGACGTCTTCCCTGTGGACATGTTCTGCTTCTCAATGCCGGTGCATATGTATTTCTAGACTCTTGTGTCACATTGGAATCATTGGCAATTGGGAGAAAAAACATCAACGAGTTGAATCAAGACTCCCTCCAAACAAGTCCACCATTATTTCAACCTTGTTCAATCCAATAGACCCAATAGCCAGTTGACTGGCGACGGACTCAGGTGGACAATTTCAGTTGAAACATGTGGAAACCATCAGCAAACCCTGGTGCGACTCGCAGGGAATGAGGGAACTTGATGGAACTTTAGCCCTCCAGATTCCACTCTAAATTGAGATCCTTTGGATCCCAAACACCCTTGTTGTCCTTGTTCCTTGTTCCAGTTCGCACCGGTCACTCCGTCTTCGACCCGCCGAACTGCAGACCGAACCGCTCCACGGATCATGTCGCCATGGCCAGGCATACCTCGGTGACGACGTGGCTCTCCCACCGGGACGACGGTCCCACGAGCCCATCTGCCCCGGGGAAGAACCACGTCGAACGGAGGCATGGCCGACGCGGATGACTCGATGACGGATGGATATGAGTGTCGGAATATGATTACTCATGACCCGTAACGGACGTTCTTAATTTGGGTGGGCCCCTATCGGTTTTGAGGTTTCGGCATCTCTTTACATGTAATTGACTGAGTGGTATCGGTCCCAGGTTGTCTTATAATTACATCTGCAACTCTTTGGGGTATCGGTTTTGGGTGGGCATCACCCATGTTAGAGGGTATCGGTTTTGGGTGGGCCCCTACTGGTTTTGCCATCACATCACTTTTTCAAAAAAAACGATGTCCAGCCAAAGACTACTGCTGACTTACACTAATTCTGTCGAGTACTCATATGGATGGCACTCACGTCCGCTGGTGCAGCGAGTAGCACCGTGTAGACATCTGTACACGTTCCAATCTCAGCAAGTTCCACGAGCCATCAGTGCTAATAACTCATCCGAGCTTCGATGCACACACCGCCCCTCCTCCAAGTTCCACAATCGCACCTCATGGTAGAGGTCACCTTCAAGCGCGAGCAGATTCTGCTTCCCCTGTGTGGTGTGGCAACTCAAGAGGGTTACCAACCTGCAAGGTCCTTGTCAGAGTATACAAACACTATCTAAGTAAAACACCATCTTGGCAACATTGACGTGCGAATGCATCAAACTCGCAAGCATAAAATCCATCAGCTGAAACACCCAGCGGTGGCTATCTCATTATTGCAAGAGATGAGCACTATGACTATTAGGATTCATGGAGCTAAACCCTTCTGTCGATGCGATGGACAACTTTATCATGGTGATGGGCCCCCCAAAAACTCACAATCAAGTTTTCCAGTCTTCCCCCAGGTAGAGTCAAGGATTTCTTCCTTGAATTCTTAGGACTCATGGGAGCTAAATGGATGCCTTGATCCGCAAGGAACAGCCTGAAATTCGAGAAAGTAGCTCAACATGTCTGCTGCTTCAATTGAAAAGAAGCAATTCCCACCTCTTTGAAAAAAAACACATGCTCTGGCTGATGTGGCTTTACACTCCATCATGCCCAAAGCACCCCAAAACCGTCCTGATTCTAAGCAGTCCCCGAACCCTCCGAAACCCTTCGCAGTCGCTCCCGCGGACCCAACGCCCTACCTGTTAAGGCTCGACGGGTGGACCAATCGACCTCCAAACCTCAGAGCTGCGACTGGCGACGATTCGGGGGATGGTTTGGCAAAAGCCGGACCTCATCTGTTTGGTCGTTTTTGTTAAGGTTCAGCGGGAAGCCCCATGGGGTTTGCCATCCTCCCTCTCGGGTGCAGCATGTGCTTGCTGAAGAGCCGGTGACTTGAAGCTCTTTGGCTTCGCCTCACGCAAAACGGGCCGTCGGATGGAATGACAAAGGAGGAACAACCAGGAACGTACTGCAATGATGGCAATGGCGAGTACGTTCCATTGGTATCTTTCTGAGGTAAGCTAAAAAACAACAACTCCCAACAGGACCACCAAAAAAATGGTTTGCGCTGGATTAAAGCAAGTTCTATATATATATATAGAACATACATACATATTACAATAGATTCACAGCATTGCATTGCATTGGGATATATTGTGTTCTTGAATGAAGGTGTTCTTCTACTAGTAATGGCTGAAAACTGGCAGTTGGAACAGGTAAGTTGAAGCAGGTGTCCAACGAGATAGGAACCATGGCTAGGAACACAATATGGTACAATCAACGAGGAAGCCAGAATGGCCACCAATGGTCCAAAAACGACCTGTCAAATTGTTCGGAACTCCAAGAAAGTGAGCCTAACCGCTCCCGACCGGTCCACTTCAACAGCAATTTAGGGTGGTTTGCTGAATTTGGAATGCGAAGGTTCTGCTAGGTAGAGCGCTTACACTACGAGGCCAAAAACGAAGGATGTTACTGACACAGGGACTGCGTTGGTTAAACCACTGATGTTCAATCTTTTCCGGCCACCCGAAGGTTGACCTTCCTGTACCTCCCCTCACCAGCTGACCATTCCCGCCTGGACCTGACGACCCCATGGTGCGAAGGCACCGGCCGTCCAAGTCCCAGAGCTGCCTGGAGATGTGAGTCTCGGGGTAGTTTTCTCAGTGCCACTCCCAGTGTAGTCAGTGGATGCGGAGATGTCCAGTCTCAGGGCGAAGAATGTTGGAAGGCACATACAGTCATGTCTAGATGTGGCTCTCTGTTAATCACCCTTCTTGAGGGAAAGTGCCCCCGGGGACTCAGGAATCGATTGAAACATCACATGTCTGATGGATCTTGGGTTTGCTGAACATGAAGGACAGGAAGCTTCAGCGGCGGTGGGCACACGCGCACACATATATATTTAATTATATAATATCACTATGACTATAGGATATATATTATCCATCGATGCTCGTTTTGCTTTGCTGTCGCGCGAGCTGGCAAGCTCCAAAAGAGTTTAAAGGCTGATGCAGGCTATGACGACTGTTTCAAGGAGGCTCTGCACGTCAACTCCTAAGACGAGTTCCAACCTCAGGTGCACCAAGTGCGCACCGTCAACTCCTGAGCGGCTCACCACACCAACCGTTCACACTCAGACGGTGAAGAAGGTGGTGTCGGTGTCCGGCTTGACACAAATGCAGTCCTTCGTCCTGTCGTGGCATCGAGACGTGCAACGACATGGGCTCCCAGCTTTCCACAACTACTCTCTGACTCACTAGCATGGAAGCAAAATATGGAGTATGTAGATGGCACAATCCGACATAACACAGGTTTACAGGTCAAGGACCCTATAAGAATCTCAACGAAACTTCTTGGATCTTGGGGTTTGTGCCATCTACTCCATCTACTCCATCCAATCACTGTCATTCCGACAAACCACTCCCAAACCGAGGCTGTGAGGCACCGAGCCTACTTCGGGTGCAGCGGGGGCCCCAACGGATGGATGCCAAACACACACGGTGGTTCCGGCCAAGCCGGAGGTTGTGACTGTGACCGGATCGGCTATGCCGATGTATTTTGCCCAGTCAATTCATAGCAGAATGATGAGGCCAAAGGATCTTTACCAATCTAACGGGAACAAACCGGTGGACCCATGGGTGGACCCATGGTGTTTTTCCGAAAAGGTCCACGATGGTCCACGGCTTCGTCCTTAGCTCCACTGCCACGCACTTGTGGGGCAAAGCGCAGGAGGTGGCGGAGATTGGCTCGACTCTCAGCTGGTGACTCAAAGAGTTCCACCAATGCAGTAAATCCTCACGCTTTCGAGAAACACACGCTTTGGCATGGTTGGTTGTGGTTGGTTGGATGTAGTTGGATGCTTGGTCGGGTATGCCATATGTAAAATTCACTTGTACTTGGTGGTCCCATATTGTAATGATAAGACTGTAACTAACTCGAAGCTCCATATGCACAAGTGTTCTTCAAATAGATTTTATTTGGTAACGTTTTGTTGTAGCCTTTGTCAACTCCTTTGTCACTTACCTTGTCCTTCGCTGTCGTACCCTATTTTCAACCTTTTTACTTTCCTTGTTGATGTTGCCCACATCCATTGGTGCAAAGCCACCGCCAAAGTTGGCAGCTAGGCTGGATGAGGCTGCTTGTTGCTGTTGATGTTGCATCTTGGAGAATGCTGTAATGGACCTGCAGTATCGCATGGTCAATGTGCAAAACTATGTGGGTTGGTTCTTGCTTGTCATTGAACATGTTGTTGTAATGGTCCTTTGGTGTCGTTGAGCAAGACTTCAATCTTGATTGCATCAGGAAGTTGTTCTCTTTCGTGCTTGTTGCTGGTCTCTGTTGTGTTCTGTCCTTTGTTGCTAGGAGCTCACCTGGATCGGTTGAAGATCACTGCCCCACTACCATGTACAATTTTAATTGCAACCAAGTACATCTGTTGTATATTCAACTGCTTGTTCCTTCCAATGTGTCCCAAAGTGTTCCTGCATAAACTCTGTTGGCGCCTATTGAAGGCAGTTCATGTCAAAATTGCTGCTGTCTACACTTGGTTGGGGGTGGGAATTTTAGTGTGGGGACTCTACAGTAGCATATTGTGGCACTCAAATATACTAAGGTGCTTTGCCGACCCTGATTCAAACGAGCAACAGCAATTATCAATGAATTTACGTTCCTTGGGGGTCTCCTTGGCTTCAGTCTTGAAGTTCAAGAGTTCATGCATCAGACTGACATTCAGCAAGTCTTGCAGTTTCAAGGTCCAACTGTTGGCATAGGCTATTTCTCAATGAGGCCAAACTCAGGTACAAACTCTTTATCTACTTTTGCCACCATGGTTGTGCCGAGCTCTGCATTTTGAAGTTGCGCAAGCTTTCGACCTTCCCTTGTGGTCGAAAGACAACCCAGGAACTTGGACCTTCCCCATGGATTCACCCTTACCCTCAGAAAACAGATGATACTGATACAATTATCAAAAAAGCAGCTCCTCTCAACCCCCCAAAAGCCTTTTGCCGCGCCTCTGCTGTGGCGTTCCGGCTCTGGCGCACCTGGGCGGCTTCATTCCACAGCGCCTCGAAGCTGGCCACGGCGGCCGCGGCTTCCGCGCCGTGGAGGGAGGCATTGGTGGTCAGCGGAATGTTGGAGGGGTCGGCGATGCGGCGATTCATCTGGTAGAACTCACCTCATACGGTGGAACAGAAAACGTCAATACAATATCAATATACATTCAATCTCCATATATCTCCATGACACCTGGAAGTATCATGAAGTATCAACCGATGAGCATCACTTGGTCTAAATGGAAAGGAATGCGGTCCCCTCGTCCCATCCCCACGGCGCACCTGGGTGCAAGTGCTGAGGTGTCTTCACCATGCCAGCGCCGAAGGCCCAGAAGAGTGGCCACTGGAATGCTCGGGCCATGTGTTGTACGTCGCGGCCATAAGGCGTGCCGAAGAGCGTGGGGAAGTTGCCAATGCCCAGCTTCACCGAGGAGGGAAGCCGAGGGTTGGCCATGATATCCGACCTGGGCAACAGCTTCTAACATCAAGAAGTTTAGAACAAATATGAACAAAACAGCGAGGGTTTCGAGTGCAGGTTGGAAGTCGAGCGAATTATTTCTGTCTATTGTCACTTGGTTCCGCATCTTAGCGCCTGTCCCATGATGATTTGTTTGACCACATGTGGCCATAGATGCAAAGAGGGACTGTTGAAAGGAACCAGTCAATGCACAACCGACCATCACTTGCAAACCACTGGCTTGTCAGGCGACTCTAAATAGCCATCCATGTCCACAAATTGAAGGGATGGCATGTCTTCATAGCCGATCTCCGACATGCTGCTTCGGGTGTACAAATTCCTGGCCACCTCCAGGGCAGGCGAGTTCAGAAAGTGAAAAGACAAAGGGAGGGCAAGCGGTGACATGGGCATTTGAGGCCTTTGCCTGTTAACATGCACCGAAACACCCCCAAGGCTCGAAAGTCAGGTTCTGATACCGTTTGTTTGCGTGGCACGGTTTCACGAGTTGTTCAAGGCCGAACCACCTGCAACACGGTTTCATTCCCGGAGCTCTTGTTCACAGGGACCCGCAGATTTGGTAGGATCAAGTGGTCCAAGTATTCCAGAGTTCCCACAGGAAGATCTCTCGGCCAAGCGCTGCAGTTTAAGGGTGGCAGGTCCGACTTGTTTAAATGAGATGGCAGCGGCGCCCCTAAGCACACCATGGTGTAGAGACCGGTGTCATATGGTGCGATGAGCACTGAGTCCTTCATCCGGCTACTGTTGAAAACCACTGTGAAGTCTCCTTCGACTTGCTCAAAACAGAAGAACTAAGAACTACTTCCCCAAATCATCTCCCCAAGACAGCGTTCGCAAAAGGAGAAACTGATAAGGCTTAACAATCAACTTGAGCAATCCCAGGGCACCGAAGAAGGGCTCTGAACCTGTGTCCAAGCGCTGCATGTTGTGCGCAATGTAGATCAAGCGATTCGAGACTTCCGACCAAGTAGGTACAGCTCCAGCAAAGGCTTTGCATCCAAAAATCTCTTTCTGCGCCATGTCGTTGATGGGTGAGGCTCCCTGCGACAAATTGCTGTGGTGCATCAATGCCACCTGGAACTCATTGGGGAACCACGCCATTTGGGCCAACTCTTGGATGGTCACGTCTGCAAAAATATCCTGGTCCTGAGCGATTCTTGGAGATCGAACCTCCCTTGGTCCGAGAACCTCCCCGAGAACCTCCCCAGAAGGTGGTCCACACTTGTTTGGACACAACATTTCAGGTCAACATGGTCAAAGTCCAAGAACATGTAGAATTAGAACATATTAGAACCGTGTCTTTACGCAAAAGCCATCTTGGGACAACTAAAATTATCCCCTTACTACTAGCACACACACAAAATGGATCAAAATGAAGTGAACATGATGAACTTTGCACGTGTTTCTCTTTGATTCTGATGAGATGTGAGTCTGGTCTCTTTGCCTTCATTGTCTTCACTCTATGGCAAGCCTGGTGCCGAACTACTTCATTACAACAAAGAATGGATGGCTTGACATCAAGGGGCCTCAGGGCCCAAATGACGTACAGTACACTCTCTGGAACAAGCATGGAAGTGGATGGCATGGCCCCAAACGGATGACCCTGAAATTCGAATACCGAGCAGGTGCTTGTATGACTTTATCCACACAGAATCTATGACATCGGTTCACGCCCAGCATCTCTGGCCGGCAAGGCATGTGCCAGCTCCGCCACTTGTGCCTCCGCGCGGTAGCGCCTCAAGAGCTCCTCACTGCTCAGCTGGGCGACAGCAGGGCAGCAGTCCTGTCAAAGAAGACACCAAAAGAAAGCCAATCTCCAACCAAATAAGGTAGCACTGGCCTCCGCATGCCACCCTAGGAACGATGACCTCCAGTAGCGACACCAAAAGAGAGGGGAATCTCTTTTGAGCCACTTATGGCACCATAAGCCACCACTCCGTCCAGGCACCACATGTAGTCTTATGGTGCCTTTGTTGCACTCCATCCTTGTATCTTTGGGTCTGTCTTCTTTTTCTGGGAGGCAGCTTCATGAATCCCAACGTGACTGTGCATGGTACATCGTGCCACTCTCGTGCCCCTGGGGCTGATGAAATTAGCTCACTTCTGGTCACTTAAATGATCAGTTCTGCTACCCATGCAGTTCTTCTTTGGTGAGGGTCTTCACTATCAGCGAAAGGGCTCTACTTCTTCGGTTCATGTTTCTCCTCGGGGCATCAAGGCGGTGGGCTGGTGCACATCCCCGCCACACCACGTCCTGCAACATTTTCCGGAAGCCGTCCGAGTTGAAGAAGTCCAAAACCTGCGCCGCGCAGCGCAGGTTCATTGGTACTCTCTGCTGGTCAGCCAATGGTGGGCACACAAACACTCGCGGTACATCCTCCAACTAACTTCTCTCGACACTCGTGACCACTGCAAGTATATCCAACACCTTGGAAATTTGCAGCAATTACATAGGTCGCCGACAATATGAGTGTCACCATGATCGAACGATCGTTGGCAAGCTGCGCTTGAGTCAAATCATCAGTTGTGTTGGTCAACTGCCCGCCCCCCCCAAAAAGTGTTAAGCATGAGGGTTGCGCTTAATGCCGAGTACTTATTAAAAAATGCCTCCCCATAAAGAAGAAAACACCATGTCCGAAACCCTAAATACGGTTTATAATTGCTTTTAAATTACGTCCGATTCAAACCGCTACTAAACTACCAACATGGTCGCTTGTGGGGGTAGTTTTTTTTAAGGTTCCAAAAACAACCGTAACATACCGTAACTGCCCACCTGTGTCCGCCCTGTCTATCCACCATGACACACCGCGTGGCACGGTGACATCACCTTTCAAAAGCTTTAGTTGTTGGTCTAATGAAGAATCAGTATTCTAATAAGGGTTTTTGTAGGGGGAAAAGAAGACCCTTCGATCTGGAGGTTTTTTGAATTTTGATATGAGTTTAACAAAAGGCTTATACAAAAATTTACTGGGTGACTTTTTGGCTTTTAAGCTCTTCCCAGGTGACCCTATTTTGGACCCCCCCAATTTCAGGGATATTAAAAAATATGCGACCGAGTTTTTCTTAATAGGGGTAGGGGGCCCAGTGGGGGGGGGGCGTGTTTTTTTTTAATTGGTGGACAGGATTTTTCGCCAATTGCTCTGGACATGTTGAACCGTAAAACCGCTGGCTGACGAGAAAGGACATGAAAAGACCCTTTCAAGCAAACAATTCTTTCTGGTCTTTGGACTTTGGACGGCTTTGGTTTAAATCGTTGCTCTTGAGAAGCAAGCCGAGCCCCAAACCCGCTTGGGGTGTCAGTGGATCACACCCAAGACACAACATTCAGGAAATCTTCTAATTTAATTGATCGGTGTTCGAGCTTCAACCCCCACTCCCCCTCCCCACCAAAAAAATCCACACATCACTTCAACCCATCAAAGCTCGAAACGCGCCCCGCCCTCCCCCACGCATCCCGCGTCCCGCTCCGCATGCGCTTCGCCCACCTTCGGCGTAGCCTCCTCACTGGCCTGCTTGGCTTTTTGGATCGCCCTCTGCAGCACCGCACGTTGCTCCTCCGTGGTCTCTGGCGGCACCGGCCAGGAGTTGAACGTTGCAGTGGAGTGGAGGAGCAGCGAGAAGAGGAAGGTGGTCCACAGCATGGCTGAAGAGTCTCTTTGAGGAATTGGTAACAAAAGGAATTTGAACGACACATGTGGAGTGATGTGACGCACATATTTGAGGCGTCCAAGATTTGAAGGCGCTTCTTGGCAACATATGATGAGCCTTGAGCGAAAACGACGGCGGGCATTCCGATTGAAGCTCTAAAGAGCCAATCCAGCAAGTTCTGAGTTTGCCCAATCCCAGATGAGACCCATCCTTATCTATCCTTATCTATTGGTTCATCATGGTGCATCTTGGCATGAGTAGTTCAAGACAGTTCAAGTTTCAGCTCTGCTGCTGGAACTCACGACCAAACAAGCCCAATTTACAACAAATGCATGCGGTCAAGGCGCAAAGATCCATTGTAATGAGCCGTGACGGCCAAAGCTGCCGTGACCTTCACCAAGGTGAGCTGAAGCCGCGCGCCTGGGATACAGCGAATGGTTGCGGCCGGTCCTTCTACCAGGCCGGTGACTTTCTGGAAATAAAGGCCCCAACATCGTCATTTGGGCTCGGGGGCCGTCAACTCTCAAATCTTCCTCCGCTGGCATGTGGAAACAATCCACCCACGTGCGACACGGATCGAAACGGCACCTCGCTCGCACAACGCTTGCAGGCAGCAGTCCTGTGCGCGAGGCGTTGAGGGAAACCAGCGATTTCGACTCGGAAGTTCAACTTGCAAAGCGTAACATCTTGATGGAATTGGACCTTGGATAAAACGTCGTACTCACTTGCTGAGCCACCTTATCCAACCATGATGTTTTGGACAGATCAGCTCACAGGGAAGTTCCCAAATGGAATTCCTCCTCTAGACATTTGGGTTTGCTTTCCGCCCGTCAGATTGGACTTTGAGCGGTTGGAACTTAGTGGGTCTACCCATCACCTGCCCTTGCTTTTGTCAGATCGACTGTACCAGAGGGAAGGGCCCATGTTAGTTGCGTTTTAACATAATGCGTTCTTTGACCAGGCAATGTCGCCAGGACGGATGGAAAGAGTTGAACATGTAATGTTAAACCCAACATGGACTGCTTCACAGCGATGCAGTTGTTTTAGAAGTTGCCACCGCATTCGGCTCTCTTATCGCTGTTAATTTGATTTCTTTGGACTATAGAATGGCCAACTGCAGTCGGGCCTTCAAGTATCTGGGGTGCCTTCCGAGGTTGAAGGATATAGGCGCCTCCGTCAGCCATGCTCTCCCAACTCACACGAAAAATCACACGGTGGCCGGCTCACCTCCTTTAACTCTTTGGCATCTTGAAAAAGCCGCAGCTGCAGGAGGTTCAACTCCTGGAGCTAAGGTTCAACATGATAGGTTAAACAGCCTAGACCATGGCAAAAACCAAGCACTTGCAAGGATTGAAGTATGTTAGTAATAGCTAGCACTCCGCCCATGGAAAATTATTGAGCAAATGATGCTCGTCAGGGCTCTTCATGATATTTGTACATTCCAGGCATTCTAGTTGACACTGTTGATGGACTAAATCCTGCACCACCTGACCCATACACTTCACAAGGGTTACATAGTGCCCCCACATTCAATGTTGGCACTAGGGCTTGCACCAGGTGGTGCAAGATTTTGAACTTTCAACTTTTTCGTGTTCGCACGAGAGCCGGCCCAATGTGAACGAGTTTTCGCACGAGGATAGGATGAGACACGGGCACAAAGTGGTGTAGGATGTCCATCAACCGTATGTCTAACCTCGTTCCACGCCCAAAACAGCAGGCCTCCCATCCAAACAACACCGGCAAAACAAAGCAGGACAAACACCACTGATCCCGAACTGCCGAAGCATGTTCGCTTCAGCATGCTGCTCCATGTCGTGTGTCCGCCTGCTCCCGCAGCGCGGACTTCACGGCTTCAAGGGACTGGAGTGGATCAAAGTGACGCTCCAAGACGCAGCATCCCGAAATGCTGCACACCTCGACCGAGGAGAAACGAGTAGGCGAGGATACGCACATGATGAGTCGATCCACACGCACATAATGAACCCACATCATCTGCCTCTGTCGATGCCTCGTTCGGAGTCGCCAATCCAACACTTCGAACTTCGAACGACTCGCGTCGGTCGATGGTCCACCCAAAATATCCGGGGATCTCAGCCGCCGGCCCGCACCAGGATCGCTTCCCTCAGTGCACTCGGACAGGGCCAGGTTGTTCTTAGCACCGGTAGTGTGGTATAGTGTGGTGAGTTTCCCCCAGGTGTGCCAGAAATTGGACTGCTTTTTATATCTGAGTGTGCAAGGTTCACTAAATACCGTGGTGGTTGGAAGCTCAAGCATACATACCGGCTTCTCCAACCCTTGCAAGCACATCTCCACCTTCCGAAGCTTCCAGGTCAGATCGATCCTTCTAATCGTTCACTTCTTTTTGGGCCCACTGAGCCCTGCATTGGGAAGTATGTTGTCCCCCAAAACTGATAGGCCTTATGAAGAGCACCGCCCTGGCACATTTCTGAAACTCCTTTCCACACCATTCATCTGATCTGTTCTTTGGCTATGGGTCTGCCATAGCCTGGCCATGCACGCGCGGGAAACCAGTTTTCGGCCCTCCCCGACGTCCAAGCGTCTGTGCAGGTGTTCGACTGCGCTCTCGCGACATGGCTCGGGCGTGCGAGCCGGGCGGATGGTACAGAATGCTTGCAAAATCGGCAAGGCTGACCAGGGGCCCTCAAAACCATGAACAGTTTTCACATAGAAAACCAGGTATTTGATGGTTTGTGGGGCCCCTGGGAGACGGGTATAATTCCCTCTGCCTGAAGCATGCATTTAAGCGATGGTAGATATATTGTAAATTGATGTATGTATGTGATGTGATGTGATGTGATGTGATGTGATGTGATGTGATGTGATGTGATGTGATG